TTACCCAATTTACCAAAACGGGAGAGTATCGTTGTCTTGCTCTTGGCAATCGGATACCCTCAAGTAATATAATTAAAATATGTATTTGAAACTTCTTAACAGGATGCATAATCCCATTAAGGCTAGATTCACTAATCGATGGCCATTTTTATTCATGATTTTTACAGAAACACATGGCTCCCGATTCTGAGACCGCCATTTCAAAAAGTTGCTAGAAAGTTGCCAAACCTGGAAATCTTCTTGAAACAGTGCGGTGCACAGCTTTTTTTTACAAAAAAAAGGTTGTATGCTGTTGAAGTCAAGACACAGTTAAAGATAGACATTCGAATGGTTATGTAAATTAGATTATAAGTATAAATAAATTAGTATTTACTGTATTTGGTATAAATAAATTGTTCTAAACAAACGTTACATTATTCTACGATTCGACGTTTACAACCTCTCTACTACCAAGGTATTGTTCAACTTCGGGCTACGCTCTTCATCAGGAACGTATTCATAACTTTTTTAAAGGAGGGGAAAATTTTGAAAACTTCCGAGTTCGAATTCACAGTATTACCGCTTCCAAAACAGTTATTTTTCGTGCTGTAATTTACGTTGGCAGGATTTTAAAAGGTGGGTATTTGGCTAATATTCGCGTTGTTGCTTAGACCCCACAACCCCCCTTATATACGTCGGTGCTATTCATATTAATAAAAAAATAATAAGATCGAACATAAAATGTAACACATTACTTGTTAGATCAAACATTCCACCAGCGCAATTTACGCTCGTCCGGTTACGAAATATAAATATAAATAAGTAATACAATTTCAATGAACGGCTAGAATTAAAGCCAAACAATGGATATGGGCGGGAATCGCCAAGGGAGATCACTCTTGAAGTCCTTCTGGGAATCCAAATTGGTTGACTCAGAATTAGAATTTCTCAATAGGCCGGATATGTGTTGTATTTAGCATGGTTATTTTTAATTTTGCAGGTCATCAGTCATAATATTATGTCTACGTACTTGTTTTTACATTGGAAAAGGGAAATTTGCAAAAACATTAAAACTGAGATCACATTTTTTATTGCAACAATATACAAGATGATTTAAAATTGGAATCTATTAAAAATATGTTTCATACAATATTCTGGCATTACGACATCAAGCCCGCGAAATTTAAATAAAAAAAAGTGGTTTTACCGTTAAGAGTTGATGTTAAAATATAATAAGGTAGATCTAGATTTTATATACTCAAATATAAATTTAAAAAAATGATAAAAATATATATTGTACTTTAAAAAGGTTCTCCCGTATACTAAACAAAACATTGCCTCCTTACACAGAAATATAGCAAGGAAAACAGATTAAGTAAAGCAATATACATTTCAGTAATCCAATTATTAACCATTAAAATAGGTCAAAACATCCATAGAACAAAAATAAATCATGTAAAGTGCATTACACAAACTCATAAACGTAATATAAACAATTAACAAACATATTAGACGGAATATTTCGAACATAAATATTTTAAATTAAATTTTAAACAAATTACGTTGCGATTACCTGCCAAAAATATAATTCAACCAACGAAATCTCATTGTTAACACTGCCCACTTCACGAATCACATATTTTCGTTTGTAATGAATGTTACAATGAAATAAAATCTCAACAGTATCAAAGCGAATGATTAATAAATAGTGAGTAAGAAATGTTTTGTACAAAGTTAGAAACAATACTTGTATGACTTCATCTATTTTCGCAAATTCGTTTTTTTATGGAAAAACATTGAATTAGCGTGAGAAATACATATTTTTTTGTCAAAAAAATTTGGATAATAATTACGTATAGTAATTACCCTAGTATTATTTTAACAAAACGTGTTACACATTTATTTTCAACCAATTTAACACAACTATTCATGGTTAAATATGCTTTGTCTTCGGATTTATCAAAAAAGTGACAAAAAGTTACTGCATTTATGCAACTTGTAAAGCAGATACTCATTAGAATGTAATATCAGTGGTTAGGAAACCTTATTTGTAAAAGGCCAATAATTAAAAATACAACATTAAAATCTGTCAACCAGTAGAGTATTCAGAGTTCGGAGTAACAAGTGTCGAAGCGAACATAAGTACAACAAATATTGACGTACACACAATCATGATTGGCTAGAAAATTAAATTAATTCTACCTCTCTTTATAATAAAATAAAGAACAGTGGGAAGTGCAAGTAGAAGGCGCTTTTAATAACACCTTTCTTTAACACGTTAACCGCCGTCTCGGTCACTATGACCGAGAAATTAGCTCTCCTCCAAGCCGTCGCGGTCTATATGATTGAGAATATTTTTTAAACAATTACTAACTTCCGCACAGGGCCGGCTTGGTCAATATGACCGAGACACATTTTACGAGATTTTTTGAGATTTTACGAGATTTTTTGAGATTTTACGAGACTTTCCGAAATTTTCCAAGATTTTCTCAAATTTTTCCAAATTTTTCGACATTTTCCGAGATTTTTGAGATTATTTGTGATTTTTCATGATTTTTCGTGATTTTATGTGATTTTACGTGATTTTACGTAATTTTCTGTGATTTTCATTGTAGAGGTGAATATTTGATAATTTATTCCGTGGAAATTCATTATTTGCACAACATAGACCCAAAAATGAAAACATTAAACTCATATGAAATAAGCCTCCGGCCCGAACGTAAATTACAATAAAAAACGCGCCGGCAGTCAACATGTTAATTCTATTGATATGACAGGCGTAAGTAGATTGCCAAATAACAGAACAGTATTCCAGGACACTTCTCACCAGGCAATTGTAAAGTGTCATGATTGCTTTTGTGTCATTCACGTGCCTAGTGTGTCTCTTGATAAAGCCAAGCATTCTGAGTGCCTAGCACCTACTTGACAATTTCTCTCGGGAGGTGGTAGATTTCGAATGCTATGTATATGATCTGGTTAGGGGGAAGTACAAAGAGATGAACTAGAACATCCTTCAACAAACCCTAAATACGATCAACAAATGACGTAAGAGGGAGCAGATGTCTATTAACCCCCGGAAAACTGTTGGCCGTAAAACCCATTCCTTTTGCGAAGCAGGTAAAATATCTGGTGATTATCCTAGATAAGAAATTCACCTGAAAACCCCAATTGGAAAAAACATCAACAAATCCAGATTATCTCTCTGGACCATTATGAGGGATATGCGGGAAAGCATAGGGGAACATCAGACACAAAATTCCGAGAATTTCTCAAAGCACGTAATTAATCTACCACCCTTTTATTTCGACTCAACGCTAGATAAAATTAGTACAAAATGTCTAGTTTAAACGAACCTAATGTCTTATTATTATTATTATTATTTTCGATGGTGAGTCGAAAGAGTTAACTTAATTTTTTTTTATGATATCATCTGAGTTTCGTTTGAATAAGGGATGACATTTTCTTCAAAATATCAATGTAACCCAATAAACCAGATTCGAGTATTCACCTCAAATGACATATGTTTTTTTGATAGATGAATTTGGTTCATTTCAATAGAAAATATAAAAATCAATATTTTAGAAATATACATTGTTATTTATACAAACAAATCTAAATGGTGAAATTTAATAGTTACTTATCCAACTGGTGAATTGACACTGTTCGTTAGCTCAATGTGAGCACTTATACTAGCCACCCATTCTACTAGGGTTAAAAACCATAAAGTACATGTGAACATCAACACAGTAAGTTAGCCAACTGGCGAATTGGCGCTGTTCGTTAACTCCGTTGGTCATTGCCCCTATACTCAAAATAAATACCTAAAAAAATACAATCCTGTGTATATTTAAGATAGAATCAAACTAAATTAAATATATCTTGATAGCAAATGAACGTGGTTACCAATAGTATGCTTCAATAGATATTGAACATGTTATTTATAAAAAACAAAAATAATAGTAAAATAAATTATATATAATAACTTCAAAGACGGTATTACTAATATTAATTGTAATAAACATCTTACCTTTTTGATATTGCTGACACATATTTTTCGATGGATGAATTTGGGTCATTTCAATAGAAAATATAAAAATCAATACTTTATAAATATAAAGGGACGTCTCGTCCTGTGTTATTTATACTCGCAAACCTAGATGGTGAAATTTAATAGTTAGCTATCTATTTAATAGTTTGCTGGTAAATTGAAACTGATCGTTAGCTCAAGGGAGACACCTGTACTAGCCACCCATTCTACTAGGGTTGAACCATACAGTATATATGAACATCAACACAGTAAGTTAACCAACTGGCGAATTGGTGCTGTTCGTTAACTCCGTTGGTCATCATCTCTATACTCAAAATAAATACCTAAGAAAATACAATCCTGTGTATAAATAGGATAGAGTCAAGCTAAATTAATATCTTGATAGCAAATGAACGTGGTTACCAATAGTATGCTTCAATAGATATATTTATAAAAAATAAATAGTAAAATAAATAAAATAACCTTAAAGTAGTCATTACTACTATTAATTGTAATATAAATATCTTACCTTTGATACTGAAGACAAACTATAATCAATACACATTTATTGTATAGGAATATTTAACACAAAATTCAGATTCACATACAATTAAAAATTGTTCATGAACGTTTAAAAATGCATTTGCAAGACGACACGACAAAATTTCTAATAAATAAATCAGTAAAGATACAGTAGTGACTAAGGACGCAAAAAATCCATTTAAATTTTTGTTTTATTTGTTTAAATCTTTAAACAACATTCTAGCAAGGTACCAATTGTCACCTTCCCTTTTTTTTAGAACCATCTCGACTTATCTAATGAGATAACAACAAACATTTCAATTCAAATTCCTCTATCTGTAGATTGATTGAATTTATTTCAAAACAACTGTCAAACTTTGAATAAAGATACTATTTTAACTACACTAACACTAAACTAATCAAAAAACCTTTAACTACTAACATAACCATGCAAAAAATAAACTTTACTCACCGCCTCGTCGTCTTTATTTATCCTCATGTCAGGCTCGCTCTGCATAATGCTCATCCTCTTGCCGCTGCAGACGCCATCGCGACAACTCAAATCCTGCAAACTTCCGTACCCCAACTTATCGCACACGTTAAAATTGCTTTCCAAATTGTTCAACTCCTCGCAACTGTAATTCGGTCTGAAGCCGTAAACTTTCGGACTGAGCTTGTAGTTGAAATTGTGCCTGTCCAAATCATCCTGACTCGCGACTTTTAACTGCTTTTTGTGCTTTTTCGCTTCAAACGGCACTTTAAAAATGCTCAGGAGATTCGAGAGTTCATTGCTTTTCGAACTGTGCATCGATACGTCGTCGCACGAACCACTTTTCGAGTCCAAATTCGTCGCTATTTCTTTTAGCGACAGTTTTTGAGGACTATCCGGACAATCTACAGCCCTCTCTCTGTACGTTTCAGCTTCGATACTTTGAGTATTGTCATCAGAGCTGTCCGATATCTTCGTACCGATTTTCGGAGTTATGTTACTGTACTTCTGGTCTTTACTTTCACAAGCTCTGATGTTATTTAAGTTATTGAGTTGTTTTTTGTCTAGAAATTGGGTTTCGTTTCGCGAAAATATGTTCTGTTGAGATTCGTCATGTTCAAACGGTATATCTAGGCCTTCCAGCGGCAGATTGGCAGCGTCTATTCCAGAAGGTCGGTTTACAGAGCTTTGGAAAGGAAACGGACGGTGGTGAGGGAATTCAACCACTAAAATTCTGTCGCTGACGTTGCCGCAGTCATCTCTGAAACCTGGAACGAAACATATTACTGATTAACATGTATGTAAAGAATTTGTAATTATTATCTTAGATTAAAGAAACTGAAGCCCCACGTTGGGCGCCAAAAATGTAAGATCTAAGAGTAGCAGTAAGCGCGAGTCATAAGCTCGCGTTGTTTACGTCCCTGCCCTTTGTACACACCGCCCGTCGCTACTACCGATTGAATGATTTAGTGAGGTCTTCGGACAGCGCGGTGGCGTTTCGTCGTCGTCGTCGATGCTTCGAAAAGATGACCAAACTTGATCATTTAGAGGAAGTAAAAGTCGTAACACGCGTGTTTTTTTTTTGATTTGGGTTGGTTTTTTATGTAGCGTCGAAGTAGGTAAATATTTCGATAGAATTCGTGGAAGAAGTATATTTGATGTTCATATAATTTTATGTTTACTATTTATAATTTTATGCCTGTTACTTCCTGTTAAATAGAAGGAAGGGGTAAAGGGAAATATTTCGATAGAATTAGTAGAGGTCGCAGACAGGATGAAAACATGTTTAATTAACGATATATTAAGTATTTAATAAAACGGTCTAAAAAAATGTAAAAATTGATTATATATTGTACAGCGACTTCTTCGGGGACGCCGACAGGTTGAAGACATATATCCGATTAAAGATATGGTACATATTTAATAAAATAGTCTAAAACATAATATAAAAATTGATTGACGGGGTATTTTGTCCGGAAATCCCTCATATGAAATTTGTTCGGAAAAAATTACGCCCGGCGCAAAATCCGTGTGCGTGGTGAGGTAGGGATGGAGGAATAGTGTTTAAAAAAAAATAATAAAAAAATCATTTGTTTTTAATAAACCGTCGAAAAACGATAAAGAAATTTTAAAAACGTCATAAAAAACGTGACAGTTGACAGACAGGCCCCCTAGGTTCCCCCTCACATGTCTTAAGCATCTACTAGTAACACAATCTCCCTTCCACCGTGCACCCAGTTCTCGGAAAAGGGACACGCAGAATTTTTTTCACGATTTTTCGTGGTTTCCATGGGAACCGAAAAGCAGATTTTAACGCCGATTTTTTTTTTAAAGCGTCTCGTGACTTACACATTTGGGCCAAGTTTCATTGAAATTGGTCTATCCGCTCGAACGGTACGATTTTTCAAAGTAGCCCGGAAACCCATAATACGAAATTTACCCGAAAGAAAATGGCGTCTGACGAAAAATCCGTACACTATTATAATATGTAATTTATGTTTTGTAAATTAGTATTAGTTTTAAACGTATGTTTTTGTTTTTTTTTGAGTTAATTGTTGTATTGTGTGAAGTGAATGTATTATGGTATATTCTGTTGTGACCTGCTGTTAATCATTTATTATAGTGACAGTTAATAAAATTATATTCTATTTTATTCTTCACTTACCTATCCCTGAATCAGAGTTACTAGAAGCACTCGGCTGCGGCGAATTAGCCACCAGAGGTCCAAAATTCTCATTCTTGTCATTATTTTGCAACTTGTACATGTTCTGTATCAAGCTGACTACGTACAAAGCGTTCTCGGGAAATTCCATGCAATGTCCATTCACTGCATTCCTAGTGCAAACTATCTTAAACGTTTCGGCTTTGGATAGGTGTACGTTGTGGTCGAGAATTTTCGGATCTACAGCAAACACATGGCAGCTATTCGATATTTCTACGGAATCGTTGTTGTGCTTCTTATCGACGGCATTCCAAGCATGTTCGTTGTTTTCCTGCGTCCTCATATCTCCAATAGCGCTCGTCACCAAACCGAAATATCTTGTCTCTTTGTCTGCTGTGGAACCCACATAAACGACTCGATTCGTCGGGTATATAGCCAAGATTTGGTTAGCAGAGTTTTTTAAAGTCAGACAAGTCGGTAAAATTGTCATGAGTATTGCAGTGGGTGCCCTCTTTTCCTGTCTCAACTTCCTTATGCAGCTACAAACTGTTTGCAGTCTTGTATTTGGTAACAGTTGTTTAGGCATTTCTATTGTACCCAGGTAACCTACTAGTGCTTTGTATTCCGCAGGGCTCCCTTCGTCTTCCATGGGGACGTTTATGAATCTTTCTGGGATATTATTATGTACCTGAAATAGAAGAAAATTAAAGTTATTGATAGAAGAAACTTAGCAATCTTGTTAAAATGACATCAACCCGTTTTAATATTTATCCGCTTTATGATTTTATTATACAAAATCCAGGACTCTTAAATGGAGTTGAATACGCAACTCCAGATAATAAACGCATGGCTGACATTTTTAGTAGTTTTTTTGTATTAAATTTAACTGAACCTCACGGTGTCACTTGTCAAGCTTTACCAAACCCTAATATTTCATCAAAAAGTTTGAAGAGGGAGAAATTAGTACAGTATTGCGTAAAATCAAGGCAAAATTAACTTGTGGTGTTGATAATATACCTAGGTTCTTTGTAAAAGACTGCACTAATATACTTTTTTCTTAGTGTTAATATTAATTATGTACCTAATTATTAGGTTGTTAGATTAATTAAGTGAAATATTAATAAACTATATAGTTTGTTCTGTAATTAGGTTTTTGCCTGTTGAACAATAAACTTTTTTTTTAAATTTTAATATATCAGGTTCGGCAATAAGTTACTTGAAGTTCAAACAATTTGCAAACCCTTTTTTATCACCTGCTAACAATATTAAAAAAAAAAACTCAAAACATATATAGTGTTAGTCAGCAAATTAGGAATCCGGCGCCACTAAGGCCGACGGTGCCATATCGCGCCCGTCGCAGTATCCAAGAGAGAAAGGGAACACTTGAATTTCGATCAGCCGAATGCGAGCAAGTAAGTATTTATGCCCGTTAAAGACAATTATTTATTTTGTTCCTTAATTATTTAGATTTTTACCAATGTTTAATAGATATTTAATAAAACATTATAAAACTATGTTAACACGTGTTTTGTGTATAGCCACACAGGGTGATAAAAACCATATTTTTTTAAATTAATTCTAACACTAGTATTTTTAATACAAATTCCATTGCACGTCATCAGTGACGTTAGTCTTTTGTCATAATACTACCAACTAAATAAAATGTCCCTAAATAAGCTAATAATCCACAAATGTCACGAATATTCAAAAGCGTTCATGAGCGTAGTCATATTACTAAAAAACCGAAAATGAATTGGTGATTATTTTGATAATTTAAGAATTACTTCATTTAGCTTATACATATCTTATATTTGATAACAAAAAATTTATAAAAATATTATTACATGTTTAGCACTCAAAAAACCACACTTTACATTAAATAATTTTGACATTATGTACTCCCATGAAACTGGAAATGGCATTACAGCAATTTGTATACTTTGTTGCTGTGTTGCCAACAGCTTTTTAAAAAATTTCACTGGTTTAGGCTCGGATTTAGGTTTTAGGTTATGTTAACAAATTGATTTTCAAAACAAAGTGTGATTAAAAGCCGATTTATCTTTTATTTCTACACACAAAATGCAAAAAAATTAACTAAATAGCTTATAACTTCGTTAATACAATATTTTGAAGGAGAGCATGATAATGATAAACCACTATTACCTTCCAACCAGTGGCGGCTCATGAGGTAGTGTCACTGTGTCATGGCACTATATACCTTATTTTTGATGCAAAAATATATTTTTTCTTTTTAAAACGTCTTATCATATTTTTATTTTTTGCATTTCTTTTTGTATTCAAAAATTATTTGAAATGTGGCAACCTCTCAGCTGGCACTAGGGGGGAGAGAGAAATTTTACCAGCAGCCTATGTGAGCAACAGAGATGGGGACATTTTACATGTATTTAAACGGTAAAATCAAGGAATATTCGTGCCAGGCACAGCGTCGATAGCTGTTCAAATAATCGCGGTTTCTCGATAATGTCGATTGTTGACTGAATTAACCGAATTTCTTTACGCGCTTTTTCGTTACGTTACGAAATATTATTAGTGACGTTAATGTGTGTCTTTTTGTTTTCGATTAACTTGTTTAAATATCTTATTTCCTAGTTTTTAATTTATTGTGACAGTGAATAAATTTTTGTAAATGGAATTGAAAATTTTAATAATAGTGTAATTGAAAACTTTGCAACCAAAAAAGAATGGACTTCATTTATCGGAAACTTTAAAACTAGTATATATCAAGCAACTTTGTGTGCGTGTGTAAATACTATAAATAGGTATAGTTTTATTTTTGTGATTTTTTGGTATATGGACCTAAAGACTCTATATGGTAATAACAAACTGCAAGGACTTTCAGCATTAATTACTGGGGGTAAGTATTTATAATTTTTAATTAATTTTAGAGATCTTTGATAAGTTTTGAGTAATTTATTGGCAAAGTTTAGGATAAGACTAACCCTGACGGTCTGTTTCGTGGCAAAACTTGTGTTAGAAACCTCATAAATAGTAGTCATATAATAGATATAAAAGTATCCGTCCTTCATTTATTTTTTTAATTCAAATTTTATATCTATTTTGACAATAATGTGATAATTTTTGCCCAAAGCCAGTTTTTAAAACGACTTTTGGTTAAAAATTTGGGCGTGGCAACCCCCGACAGGGCGCCTCCGGCGGGGTTTCAGATTTGTTAAAAATCTGGCACTACCATCTCGTATTATCACGAGCCGCCACTGCTGTAAATGTATGAGAAGTAAGTTAAAAATTATAGAAATATGAAAATGATTTTTTGTGTTTTAGCGTGTAGCAGCAGCCCCAAATCCAAAGTGTTGCAGCAGTCCTAAACACAAATATTTCTACTCAACTACCAAGACTGGACTTATAAGTTTTTAAGAAATTATAGAATTACAAAAGAGGCTGCTTTATATCAGTTCGTTTTCATTGATGAAAAATGTATCTTTCAAAATGGAACAATAAACCACTTCTGGCAAAATGATGAGAAAAAGTGTTGGAACTAGAAATATCGATGTCAAGAGGTGAGTAAATGTAAAAGTATCAGCAATTATGATTTTCTTCCATTTCCTGACTTAAAGTTCAAAAACTTGTTTATTTCACAAATTATGGGCCAACACTGCTATATTCTAAATTGTAATAACGAAATGACATATCATATTGAAGAATTATAGTAAATTTTTATGAGAACAATTAATTTGGAAAACATGTTTTTCACATTCTCCAGTTGTACAGTGAAAAGAAAAAATGTAATTTCTTTTTTGCAGAAGTAAAAATAAATAATATCAAAAAATTAAAATTTTACAAGATTTGTTGCCTACCATTAAATCTTTGATATGATGTTTTGATATTACAATTTAGAATATAAGCGATATTGACACATGTTATACGAAATAGCAATTAGAACTAAATGAAACAATCTTTTTTCAGGTACAAACCACCAAAGGTATATATGTATACAGTAGATAATTTAGCAGAATAATATGGACATAAAGTGTTATGTCCTCCCTACAATTGTTTTTTAACCCTATTGAACTTACTTGAGGCCTTTCCAAGCAATATTATAATTAAAATATTAGCAGAGATGGTAATAAAGAACAAGATTCTTTAAATATGTAGTCTAAAGCTCTTCAAACAGTTACTCCTCAAGTACTTATAGAAAAATTCTATTGAACACAGAAAAATAAATATTAAAATGGTATGAAAGAGAGAGTTTTTGATGATTAAAAATAATTTTTATTATATTATTATATTCTGTTATAATTAACCCTACTTAATTGATACTGTGATTTGGTTTAGGATAAATGATAGTTAATAATAGTTTAATAGTTATAAGTTACAATGAGTTACAATAATAAATAAGTAACAATAAAGTACAATAATGGAAACCAATTATATAATAACAAGCACCTAGGTGAGAACACCTGTATGTGCTGACAAAAATTAAAATTTTATTTTAATTATATTTAATGAATTATAAAGGAAATAAAAAAAAAACATTTTTTTTAAATAAAAAATAAAACTTATTTATGCAAGAAACAGAAAAAAACTATTTAAAAAAAATCTATGTATTAAGTCCGTTATTCTTGGAATATTCTGATAAACTTTGCATTATTTTGGAAAATGTATATTTTGTTAACTTTACAGATTTTTTAATATTTGTTTAATAATTTTATATGAAGAGGTAGAGCATTATAGAACTTTGTCCCTAGATAATTTACACTGTTTTTAAAAAACTCACTATTTGGTTTTGGTACTTTAATGCACATGTTCGATGCATATCTAGTGTTATGTCTATGTTCTAAAGGGTTTTTTAAAAATTCATTTTTTTGTATATAACAACACACTGCGTGAATATATAAACATCTAACATTGCTAATTTTTTCATTATATAAAGTTATGGACACAATATATCTCTTTTATATATTAACTTCAAGATTTTGTTTTGAATAGCATTTAACTGATTTAATGTAGTTCCATACAGGCCACCCCATACTAAGATTCCATACCATAGTATAGATTCTACTAGACTGTAGTATAATGTTATTAGTAGATCCTGGTTAAGAAATTGTTTTAAAAGATAAAATTTATAAATCAGAAGTCTAATTTTTTATCTATATATATTATATGGCAGTCCCATTTTAAGTGCTGGTCTATAATTATACCTAAATATTTGTATGTTTCTGTCTCCTGTATGTCTAAATTTTGACATATTAAGCTTCTAAATTGAGGTCGATCAGCTACTGTCTGAAAAAGCAATGTAGTTTGTTTTATTAACATTCAAAGACAATTTAAAAACATCCAGCCAGTTTCTGACATGTTGCATTCCAGATATAGCAGGTGTCTTGACAGCTTCCCAATCTTTATCACTGAAGACTAGCACTGTATCATCAGCATATGATACAACTTTATCTTGAATATCAATCTGAGTTAAGCTCTTAATGTATAAATTAAATAGTATAGGTCCCAGAACAGTCCCTTGAGGCACTCCAATTTGTATATTTTCAGGGTTACTCACATTGTCTCTAACCTTTACATTCTGTTGTCTGTATGTCAAATAATTTTCAAAAACCATCAGCAGGATGCCCCTCGCTCCATTCTGTTCAAGAACATTTAAGAGCTTCTGATGTGGCACTGTGTCAAATGCTTTTGCTAGATCTAGAAATATAGCTATACACTTGTTACCAGTATTCATTTCATCAGTAACATATGAAATCAATTCATGCATAGCTTCTCCTGAGTAAAGTCATATTGGTGCTTGGGAAGTAAGTCATTAGTTTTTAAAAAATCTGTCAGTCTATCTTTCACACATTTCTCAAATATTTTGGCCACATTACTAATTAAACTAATAGGCCTAGAGTTAGTAATTCATTTTGGATTACCAGCTTTATAAATAGGTGTTTTTTAAGTTTATCCCTAGTTTTAATAGAATTAATTAAACCATTTGTTATCCCTAGCTTTATTTTTTTATGGATTTTAATTTTAATATTTTGAGTGGTTTGACATGTTTCAATGATATTAAGATATGTGTCATAAAAAAGTTGTGTTGCAATTTCTGGATTATTTTCATTCCAAACACTTTCCCAGTTTACAGTTTCAAATTTTTGTTTTAATTTATCAGTATTGATTTTAGTTATAGTTTTCTATTTATTGCAGGAACTTGTGTAGTTTTTGGCAGATTGTGAGATATTTATCATAATAGGATCATGATCAGTCATGTCAAAGCTGATTACATAAGAGTTCACCGATAGATTTTCAGTCTTAATATTGAATGAGTAAGATTTTGAATGTTTTTGTTGCCTTTTACATATTTTTAAAACTTTTTACAACTAATATCAATTAAAATATGGGGCAATAATTTATTAGCTCAAAATGCAGGATTATTGGATAAATATAGGAAGTCTGGCATCCATAGTCTATCATGATATTGAAATAATGTCAAAAGACATTTTAGTTTACTTGAATAATACTACTTGTGTCTAGTTTCTACGTATTTAAACTATGAACTTTAAAAATGAATCTGATTAGTTAGAGATATTTCTATTTGTAACTAATAACTCTGTGATTCATTGTTGTATTATTGTGTCATATTAAACCATTATGAATCTTTATTTTAATTAGATCAAATCTTGTTAACTGTATACTGTATGAACATTCATATTTAGATTAAGTTTTCACCACTTGTTAGATATCATAGATACCTACATAACATAATAAAAATAAGTCTGAAATATACACTATATCAGGAACATTTTATCAAAGCAAATTCAAGACTATTATTAATTATTTAAATGGCACTTACAGGTTTAGGGACAGCCTTCGCATCTATACTAGTCCGATTTAATTCCTTTCGCACTCTAGGTTTATGTGTATACTTTGGTTTTCTTGTATTCACCATCCTGCTGCACTCCAATTCTTCGTCGCTGCTATCTGAGAAGTAATTCTCAGCTATGGTCATCTTGATGGGGCCAATGCAATTGCCAATGAGGCTAACAACAGCGTCGTGAGTTATTTTCGATACAGAAATTCCATTCACTGATATCAAAAAGTCGCCAGCCCTTAAACCAGCTTGATCTGCGGGCGAGTTGGCTACGATACAGCTCAAAATGCAGGGTTGTTGCCCTGAAATTGTGAATCCAAACCCGTTGGAACCTCTCATAACTTCCACTGTTTTTATCCCATAATTAGGTCGTTTCTTTCTTCTCCTATTTGGATGCATTTTAAGTGAAACTTTTCGGATTAGAAGGAACGCCCGTATTTAAATCTAAGTTAAAATTATAAACACATAACTTGGAGTGTACTTTCTCTACACGTCATTTATTTAATAAAAAAACCACATTCCTAGCATATTTTTTAAATTGCCCTCGGGGAAGATGCTCGATGTAAACTTATTTCAAACAGCTTACGTTTACGATTCTCTAGTTCTAAAACACGTCTAAAATGCCAAATTGAAAAGGATAACGCTAAAAGTTGCCTGTTACGGATATTGTTACGCTTACGTTCGAACCATTTATTGCCAAAGGCGTACATAAACTTTTATTATATTTGATTTAATATTCATATTATTTTGATTTCAAGATTAGAAACTGACCGATGGAATGAATTAATTCCATTTAAATAAAAGTGTTTATTGTTTAATATTTGGCAACCTGTTACAAATCAATCAAAATTAAACTGCTAGGTTATGGTCAGTGTCAGTAGTCTTTTTTTTGTTATGGTTCTTGCTTTTGAAATAAATAGATTGTTATCATTTTTACTGTTTCAAAAAGATAATTATGAATGTATAGCGGTTAATAAACCATTATTTATTATCATGAATATCATATTAATATGTATTTAATACGTTAATCGACGGATCAAGCAAAATAAAGATATAAAGATGATACGCATAAATTTGAACTTGAGTTATAAATAGGGATGCCACCTGTACGGTGTTTACCTGGAATATCCGGGTTTTAGAGTTTTTTCCGGTGTTCGGTCACATGATGAAAATGTCCGGGAATATCTAGATAACTTTATAATTTTATTTTCAATACTGAATAAATAATAATAATTTATAACGTACCTAATAAGTAGGTATGTCGTATCCTCTAATACAATAAACTACAACTTATAACTAAATGCAGTGTTTTATTTTTCAAAAGAAATCATATTGAATCAGGTATGTACATGTATGGATCCCCTAGCTTGGAGCGTTCATTTCCGGGTCTTGGAAAAAGAAAAGGTGGCAACCTTAGGTATAAAGAGAGTAATTGGTTTAACCTTTAAGTATCGTGGGTTATATAATATAGTACAACTTTGCCCTCTTTTCACTTTTCACCATTTGATGTACCTACATTCACTCAGGTATTATGTAAGCAATTTTATAAAAGTTAATATGATTTAAAAAGAAATACAAAACAGGCAAGTATTGATGCATACATGAAACTTCATTTGTAGTCGTATAAAAGGGATGTTAATGAATATGATATTAAAATTTAAACATCTATAGGATACTTAAGTAGGTACCGTTTTAAGAATATATCAAGAGAAGTATCTATAAAAAATGATACAAAAATCACTGATAATGTTTAGTGGGCGAGAACACCAAGAGATCCGTATGTCAACAATAAGAAATGTATTTTAAAACATATATTAGAATCCATTACTTTGAATATATTATCTTTAACTATCAATAAATAAAGAATAAATAAGTTGTTAGGTATAAAAACATATTTCCTTTGTTCCCATATTATTAACACTACACTAATCCTCCAGTAGGCGGCAATGGCCAATTAATAACTTTGCCAAATTATGACGTAGCTGTGTTCTTTGTATTGTAATCGGACCCTACTGAAGGAAGATGAAGACCTGATTTATTTTTATTTTTATAAAAATTGTGATAGGCACCAATAAACCCCCCTTGTTTACAAATAGAAAAATGTAGGAAATCCTTCGCATAACTTTCTAGAATTTAGTCTTTTCAGATCATTTTCAACTTCAAATCATAGACAGTTGGGTTTTCAACGATTGTTTGTTGCATCCACTATAAAGTTAGAATATTTTAGTTTTGACTGCAGGTCTGTTTCACTCTTTGATCAAGACCATACTGAATTTTATTGTACTAGTGTGGTTTGGTATTTCGTTTCTGCCATCTGTATTTGTCATTTTGTCTCCTATGCAGCTTACAAAATCGAACCTATGATCGAACCCATTGACACCTTTTTTTAAAATCGTGTTTAACTGTGAAATCGATGATACTGATATGTAGAGACAGTAGTCAAAACCGATTTAAAAAGTTTTAACATTAATATATCACAAAATGGCGTATTAATATTAATTTTCAAAACCCTCAAAGCGACGCCTATGTTTTTCTCTTCTCTTAAAGATGGCCTCTTATCAGGAAGGTGTTTACTTTCAAAATAGTTAAATGTCAGATTGACTTATTTAGGTTATATTTATTATTGAGTATTTAAATGTTTAAAAGACAACCCAAAACATGAGTAATGTTTATATATTAGAACCACCAACTTCGGGGAAGGTTTGTTTTAAAGAATTAATATAAATTTGCATGATTTATTTTACTTATTTTATTTGATATTATAGGTTCTGTTAAAAACCACTGTTGGGGACATAGATATCGAATTATGGGCCAAAGAGACACCAAAAGCATGTCGAAATTTTATACAGTTATGTTTAGAGGGTTACTACAACAATCTGACGTTTCACAGGATTGTGAAAGGCTTTATAGCCCAAGGAGGGGACCCAAATGGTGATGGCACAGGTACAAATTATAATATTCAATTTTATAGAATATAAATTGTATAAAATATATTGTAAATTTTCATTAATTATTACAATACTTATTTATTTACTTAAGGTGGTGATTCAATATATGGAGAACCATTTAAAGATGAATTTCATCAACGTCTTAAATTTACTAGAAGGGGTCTAGTAGCGATGGCAAATGCCGGAAAAGATGATAATGGTTCCCAGTTCTTTTTCACCTTGGGTCCTACACCGGAATTACAAAATAAACACACAATATTTGGAAAGATCTCTGGAGAAACTGTATTCAATATGCTAAAGTTAGAAGAGGGGTTAATAGAAGATGAAACACCATCATATCCACATAGAATCACTAAAACTGAAGTATTGCACAATCCCTTCACTGACATGGTACCTAGGATTATTAAAAGTGAAGTTAAAGAAAAGAAGAAAAAAGAGAAAAAGGCTGGTGTTAAGTATGAATATTTTTTAAAAAAAGAAAAAATATAGTTCTTCAAAATGGATTTAGATTTATTTTAAATCTGCTGTTTTAGAAATTTTAAATTGTTATCATTTGGAGCTGAAGCGGAAGAAGATGAAGAGGAATCGTCTAGGCAAAATCAAAAATTTACTGGGAAAGGGAAGTCAACCCATGATGTTTTGGGTATGGACCTATTTGAAATAATTTCTAAGATGTATCATTTATTTTTTTTTTAATTTGGTGTCATCGGCATCTACTACTAAGGCCATTAGCCTAGTGTTCTGTGTAGGCTTTGATACTGTTTCCCAGCCCCACTTTAGGAATAGCACTGTTAATTAGAATCCAACAGTGAATGGTGAAATGTATCATTTATTATTTTGATTCATATTTTATTCTTACATTTATACACCAGACAGTAATTACATGAAAAAGGAATAGGAACCAAAATCAATAAATATTTAAGTCTTATATTAAACACAGTAGGTGATGATTACACACATTAAGAAATAAGTATACGTACCAAATAAAATAGAATAAGAAGAGAAGAAATATACCAGTAGTCATACATTTCTAAATATGCTTGATAAAATTAAGCCCAAACTGTAATGAGTATAAATGATATGTATTGATTTTGGTAGATAAATATGTTTCCTACCTTCTAAACATTTTCATTGTTATACTGCCTTAACCTATCTACTACTCTCTCATTTCAGACCCCTTATCCCTTTCACTTATAATACTAATACACACCAGTCTCTTAATTTTATATTTTCAGTAGTACCTGTCTGAACTAGTTTTATTTGTCCATAGTATTCTTTCTCATTTTTTATTCACACAAGTCCCCTTACAGTTAAACTCCACTTACTCCCTCTCTTTCCCTGGCACTTAACAACCGTTTTTGTTGATATTTTAAACCCCCTTTCCAAAATTACCATTAAAATGTACTTTATCATTTCCATTACCTTGTTAATTCCACAACGATTTAGAAAAATTCTGTAGGGAAAATGGAATGAACCTTCAACTAGCTCAGATTTGATAGCTTCAACTGTTACCCTTCATTTGAACTAGCCATTAGGCCTGATGAATGCCCTATAGTGGCCAAAAATAGTCATCCTTTCATTCAAATTTTTTAAAAATAAAATTGTAAAGATCGACTTGAGTTTTATCTTTGTGCTTTTGTTATATGATATTCTTTATATCATTTTCGGAAGGTATTTTGGTGTAATAAAATTCAAAACTAAAGGTTACAGAAATAAACGGCACACCTTCTGAATGGTATGCCATTATTATCTGCTATATTTTGAATTTTTGTAATAATTTATATCCAGATGATCCCAGTTTGAGTTCGCAGACAGAAGTGGCTGCTGAAGAACCTGAAACCATAGCAAATCCTGATGACCAATTGGAAAGCATTCGAAAAAAATTGCAAGCTGCTAAAGATTCAAAAGCAAAAAATCTTAAGAGACCATTTAAATCAATTGAAACAAAACCTAAAAATCCTGAGATTATCGATGATGAAGATGGCGATTTAGAAGAATATTATCTTGGGAAAGACAGCCAGATAGAAAAACAGAAAAAAATGTTAGTAATGTTGCATATATTTATTCAGCTGATCATTTTTATATTTATAATTATTCTAGGAAGGCAATCAAAGATGAAATACAAAGCATCAAAAAGGATTACCACAAAAACAAACTCAAAAAGGAAGAAGAAAAGACGGAAGAGCAAAAGGAAGAACAAGTAAAAAGTGAAGTAGTAAAAGTATATAAAGAAGAGTATGATTCGTACAAAGCAAAAAAGCAGCAGTTGCCTAAAAAAGGTAAAGACAGAGAACAATTCACGTTAGCCTTGTTGGATAAGTTTAAAGTCAAGTTACATACAGCCAAAGAGAAGGAACAAAGCAAAACGGAAGAGGCAGCTGCAGAAGCAGTAACAGCAGATGTTGCAGTTGAAGATGATGAAGAATCTTGGTAAGTGATTAAATTTTAAATTAATTAGGTTCACTTGAATGGTGGTGCTGCAAAATCTCTGGGAACATGAAGACCAAATTAAACTTTACTTTCTTATATCTTCTTCCAAACTTTCTTTTCTTTTAGGATGACCCTACAATTTAATTTTATTATGTCTAGTTGCCAACAATACTTTTTTATCATCTTTCCAAGAACATTCTTATTTCTACTAGTATATATTTATTATTGCTCTTATTGGCTAAATTTTATTTTAGGCTGTCTCATAACCTCAAATTCGATGATGGCGATCCAATTTTGGCGAAAGATGCAAACACCAAAGATGACGATTGGTTTGAGATTTACGATCCTCGACATCCACTTACCAAAAGGAGACGAGGAGAGGCGGTGGGAGGGGGTGGAGGAGGTTCGTCCAAAGGGAAAAATTAAATTATTTTTTATCATTGATCATATTGATTTGTTATTACCTAAGTGTTAAAAATTAAACAAATTTATATAATTTTGAGTTTTTATTATTTTATTTAAACAATCTCTATTAAATTTAAATGAGAAATTCAAATTACAAGGCCTACAATGAGTGAGCATTCGAATTTATAGGCAGTGGCGGTTTGCCCGTAAGAACACTTGGGCACGTGTCCTAGTATAATAAACCAAAAAAAAAAAAATAACTTACATATTTTATATTTTCCTCAATGCCTATTAGTATTTTATCTAATATTCAGCGCAAACCGCGTTGGCACGACACTGGACGACCGGGCGTTGAGCGACGTTCCGAGAATTCCGAAATTAAGTGAAAGATGGGCACAGTAAATGTGTGCCTCTGTTGTTTTCTCTCTCATTATGATGTGAAAAACAAGGACAACGACAATATCGCTTAGTAAGAGATGAACACATGCAATGGATTATACGTCACAAGCGGGGCGCTGTCATCGTGACGTGCTATACCCATGGCACAAATTACCTAGACCAAATACGAATGTACGTAGCGGCATCTTTACCGGCTCCCTCACAAAGGCGATGCCGGTTTCGGCCTAAGGTGCGTGTTTGTTGGACCATGATAATAATTTATTTATTGTGATTACGAAAAAACGTTAGTTGGACCATTGGAATAGTTAAGAAATAAAACTACAAAGAAAACTAACTTTTTTATATAAAGCAGTCAAAAATATGAATCAATAATATTTAGAAATGGGACAAAATTTTAATTTTGCTTTTGGTTTTGTCTGACTTTTTCGAGGATTTCAAATCTCTGTTTGCATATATAAGAGTCTAAAAAATTCTGAATCTTATAAATAATTTAATGGTGTACATTTTCGCAAATTGTTGGCAAGGATGACCAAATTCTATTTTGCTCATCTCAAAAAGGTATGCGATGGAAATTCCAGGCTTAGTTGACAAACTATCAAATAGATATAAATAGTTTTTCTAATCGGGACGGTGGTGTAGCGGTCTATCGCGCTTATATTCATTTATAGGCAAGTTTATGAGTCTGAGACTGCTGGGTTTCGAGTCCCAGACCGGACCATGTGGATTTTTAATTAAATTGCATGGTTCGGTTTAGGATTTGATGTGTGGCGTATTAATAGAAATTCAATTTCTGTTGATATGACATGCAGATTAAAAAAATTCGCCATACATTACCGTCTCGATGATGGTGGGTGAGGTTTTCCGGGTTTTCCTCACCTGTAAGTCAAATGGCACCATCAATCATCTTTAAGTCGCCCCGGAGCACCACGGCAAATAATAATAATAGCCGTCCCTTCCCCTACACAAGTCGTTTAGTCGACTTCAGGGGTTGAAATTCACTCGTAAGGGGGTGAATTAGGGAGAGTATTATTATTATTATAATTTGAAAATATAAAAGAGAAATTGCCAAACACCCTTTCTTCAGTGTCGTATGCTTTAAAATGCGTTAACAAGTTAGAATTGTTAAATAAATTGCATTCTTCTGAGAAATTTACGCAAATTTTGCAAGAGTGGATATGAAATGATTTTTTAATTAAATAGCCACATACATAGTTAAATGCATTTTGAGTGGTTACATTTATCTCCCTGTAGTCACATTCAGAAATCGTTATTGCCCCAATTGACTGAACATGAGGTTCGGTTTCCGTTTTATGATAATTATTTAAAACACAGTTTAGTTCTGTAAGTAAAATGTCATGCCATGTTATCCATCGAAAAAAAACTTATTCGGTCCATTCCAAATTTTAATAATCTGGTCATCGATCACCTCGCTAGCCAAAAATCCAGAAGAATGGACTTAAACAATAAGAAATAGTATACAACTGCAGCGGTACCTAGCAGTTAGTCTTCGATTTTGTAATATTTAATTTGTTTTGAAATATATTTAATTTTCATTAAGCGGGAAAAACGAATCCCGGGATTCCTTTCCAGAGTGTGCCCCACTGCCGCTAGTGCCCACGAGCCGCCACTGGTCCCTTAGAATATGTCTTATTCAGGACCACACGATATTTGTTTGTAGTTACATCTCCTGTTATCTCTGGTTGTTCCACATTTTTTAGGCCTCTCTATAGGCTCATTGTAGATCCTCCAAGTCTTTTACCACGTCTAAAAGCCTGTTGGCTGGCAAGTCACCGAGATATTTTTAGAAGTGATCGTTTACCACCCTATTGGTGAAGCGATTCTGTCAGCCAGCTCCACAGGGCTCAACGCCGTTCCAGTCATATTACTTTTAACATTTAACCTCACTTATTTACTTTTTTCTTTGTTGTGTAGTATTACTTATTAAACTGACACATTATAAGACGCAAAAATTCATTAATTTAAACCATTTTCTTAATCAAGAAATTCATAAGAAACATGATTTTATTTGCTGATTATTGTTACACCCCCTAATTTTAAAATAAACAATCTCAATTGTTTTCCCAACCAGCAAACCCTTCTTTCGCCATGATACATAAATAATAGCGGCCGATGACACCCTCAAAAGTCAAAATATTCATTTAATGCAAATCTGATTCCCAGCTTTATATCGCTTCCTCTCCCTCATTCGAAGTTTGTTTCTCAAAGTTACCCTTTACGATTTTTTTTTATCTATAATCCTATCTTTTGTCACTTCTAAACCCTAATTAATTTTGATGGGAGGATTAATGAAAGCGTGTCAAACAAATTATAGCTACTTAGTATAATTCTCTCACCATAACCGGGCAAATTAATTTGTATAGAATTTCTTATTACTTGGATCACACGTCTTGTATAAAAAAATAAGTAATTAAATAAACAAACTTATGAACTCAGAAGTAAAGTGTTAATATATTAAAAATTTTGTTATATTACTCGTAATTACAATTCTAGAGAAATTAGAGAATCTTTTGCTGTCCTTCATGGTTCTCATTTGAGACCTCTTCGTTTTAACTTATCTATTAATAGTATTGGCAACAATTTTGTGTTTAAATAGGTACAAATCGGATACAGGATGAGTTAGTACCAACTTTTATTAACAATTTTAAATTTATATTGGCACATTATAACGGAAACTTTTTCCTAACGATAAAAAAAACTACTTCATTACCTTTTTTTCCATAATATACGATTTAATTAATAATTATAATAATCCAGTTAAGATATAAACATTGGTATTAAAAGTTAGTATATAATGAAAGAAGTGTAAAAATATAAAGAATGTTTTATTCTTTATTTAGCCACCATCAACCCCAACCTTTATCTAAATCTCACCCTTAAATAATGATTAAAAATTACATGCACCGGAAAGCACATGAGAACCAACTACAAATCCATACTTTAGCTATCGCGATCATAATAGCATGGTGTGTTTATCTCGAAAGTCCAAAGATTAGACGACTCTTCATCCTTTATTGACGTGTGCCCATCCCCCATTGACGTGCGTCCATCCCACGGAGTGGTGTCATCAAAACACTCTTTGTGTATACATTTAGCTCGAAGAGGCCATGAATCTTAAATCACTGATTTTTATCTACCGAATTTGTTTATTTGGGCATGTGGTCAGCACGAATTGCAAAAAATGTTTTTCGTTTTCAGAAATAATGCAGGATTGTAACAGAACGATAGGTCACAAATTATACCAGGTGTTACACAATTACTTGTTAGGGGGCTTACACCTTGTTATACGCAGATCAGGTCTGCCTTAATACCAAGGGTTATTGTTTTAAAAAACGTTATTGCAGGTTCCAACGCTGGCGGAGCATGTGATTTTTTTCAATTTTTCATTTAATTACTATATTGACTGGACTTTTTTAAATACTTGATATTCCGAGTTCGCCTACGAATGGTGCAATTGAAAAATTAGGACAGTAAAACAACATGAAGAAATAAAAACTCTACTACTAGCATTTTCCATTTGATTTTGTAACAAGTTAAAAATAAAATGTTTTACAACTTATTGTTCAGAGTAAAGTACACATTAATACGTTCAGATTTCTTCAACAAATCCACCTTTAATTAAATCTCTTACATCTTTTCCATTAACATATTTCATCATGCTATTTTGGGTAAACTTGACAATTAAATAGGTCCTGTAAAAATGCAAAATAAGAAAAGCTATAAGGATACTATTAAACAAATAATAAACAAATCCATCTAATGGCTTAATATCGTCCAATAATATATGTCTGATTATTTTAAAAGGATAATAACCCAATTTTATCGATATCCATAAAGTTAAAAACAATCCAAATAGACTAACTGATACAAAATTATGGTTAGTGTAATGTAACACTTTTATCAAATCCAGTAAAGCATCGCTCAAGTCGTGAAAAAACAGTATTAAACTACCGATTCTTATAAAATTCAAATACCAAGAAAGACTTATAAATGCGACATTTAAAGCGTAATTAAATATTTCCCAATAATATTTGCGCTTTCTAAATATAAATCTGTTTATAAACAAATACAAATAGAACGAGAAGGTCACCATGTAATAAGCCCAAATGTCCAAAGTCACCGCTTGCAATTCAAAATCAGTCCAGCTTTTTTCGATGTTCCACATCCATGGTTTTCTCCACAACACTTGCGATGAGTAGGTTAAGGAAATAGTGTAATACCACGATCTCCAAAAGCTGTCGTAAAACGCCACTACGATATCAGGCAACCCTTTCTGTTTACAAGCTGCATGAACTTCCTCCGATTTGGGAGTTTGGAGAGAAACGTCTTCAGAATCAGTGGATTCTGGAGTAATTGGGGCGTTGTTTTCTTTTGGAGGCTAAAATGTGCATAAAAATTGTAAAAATAAAAAATAAAAACTTAAAAATATCATTAAAAATATCATATTAAAAATATCATTATAAATATTAAAAATATCATTAAAAATATCAATAAAAATATCAATAAAAATATCAATAAAAATATCAATAAAAATATAATTAAAAATATCATTAAAAATATCATTAAAAATATCACTAAAAATATTAAAAATATCATTAAAAATATCATCAAAAGTATCATTAAAAATATCATTAAAAATATCAATAAACATATCATTATCGGAGTGGGTGGCTCAGTGGTAGAGTCTTTGCCTGCGAATCCAAGGGTTCTGGGTTCGAGACCAAAATGCATTTAAAGTAGTTGCTCAAACATGGTGAACTAACTACAAAGAAGGCACAGACTGGAAAACTAATGGCTGCTGTATTTTGGGATTCCCAAGGAATATTATATATTGGCACAGAAGAAAGAACAATACAGAAAAGAAACAAAGGGGTTGTTCCACCACAGAGATACTCTGAGAAAACGTAACTATTTACCGTATACCTAGCTATATGGTGTACTGTGAATAAATACGTTTTCTCAGAATATCTCTGTGGCGAAACTAGCCCTATGTTTCTTTTTTGTATTGTTCGTTATTCTGTGATATTGGATATTTGCAACAAGGCGAATATAATGCTTCATAATTAGACAGACTAAACGAAGAAATTAAAACTAAAAGATTATTTAAATCAAAATTCATTAATTTTGGCTTACTTTCTGATCTGGCTTGAAAAGATACTCCACTGAAAATCTGCATATATGTAATAAACCCATAACTGCAATACAGAATCCTGCAATATCGTTTAGAACATATTTCCACAAAGGAAAGACAAAGGGATACAACAGGTACAATAGGTATTGGTTCCAGTATTGCGAAATCATTGCGGAATGGCATTAAACTGAGTATATAATTATTATTGATTTAAGTAATACGAAATCGGTAATTTTAAATTTTATACCGATCATTGAAAAAAAAACAATGGTTTAATTGGAATATATTGTAAGTTTGATGTATCAATTATTTATTATAAATTTATTGGCGTATTAAAATTTTCGATATTAAAATTATATTTTTTTGTGAGAAATTTTTATATTTTACACAAGCGTAGAGGCGTCACAAACTATTTTTATTTTATTTTTTCGACTTATAACTAAGCGCCGAAGAAAAAACAATGCACTAGATATTCTTTTAGCAATCATATAAATATGTCAGGTCCGTGATATATTACTATCAAATTAAAATTTCTAACAGTTTCACACTGTCAAGTTCCGATGAGAAACTATTGGATCCAAAATTAAGGTTTTAGGTTTTTACTATGAACACTAGATATATAAGGAGACGAATCGGCAATGATCAAATTTCAAATTTCTGCACTTCTTTTTCTAAAGTTCGCTAAATTGACTATAGTTGGCAGGTCGAACGTCACGACGTTCATTTTCTATGGGCAAGTTCGAGATGACGCCCTATGGAGTGGACAGGGTATGAGCAGAGATAAGAGAGGGCATGAGCAAAGTCCTGTCAAGTCAGAGAGTGAATGTAGTAACATCTCGAACGCGCTCTGTCACTCAGACTTAAAGCCACATACTTTGATTACTATACGGTGCAAGAGAGAGGTCCGACATGCCCAACATAAGGCGCGGCCATTTTGATTCCTATGCCACAGTTTATAGCTAAAGAATCAGATTGCTCAGTCTGCGTCGGCACTTTTGATCTCAATGTTCCAGTTTATACACTGCGCAACTCGGATAATACAATATACCCAGCAAACACACTTACGTACATAAGACGTACTATGTACGTACTGATGGGACGTAAAGTACGTACCATGTACGTACTTTACTGTACGAAGTACGTACATAGTACGTACATAATACGTACATTTTCCAAACGACGGTACGTACCTAGTACGTACTTAAAGTACGTACTCTGTACGTACCTAATGTACGTACTCTGTACGTACCTCATGTACGTACTCTGTTCGTACCTAATGTACATACTGTGTACGTACTTAATGTACGTACTATGTTTGTACTTATTCCAATAGAGTACATATTTTAGACGTACTTTACATCCTTATTGGTACTTACTTATGATGTATAATGTACGTATTAGTGCATTAAAAAGAAAAGTAACCAAGTTAATTTTTATTTATTTAATTTTTTACATTAAAAGAATAATTTAAATTGTTTTGCTATCTTTTTGAAAGTTTTTAGGCGATCACCAGCTCTTCTTAGCTATCTCACAATTTTCCTGTTCTACAAACTTCTTCTTTTTCCATTTGCTACTTTTTATAGAACCTTCTGCAAAGAAATAATATCAAATTAGAAACTTAACTTTGGTACTTTTTATAATAAACAATATAATAAAAACAATACAACAAAAAGATGTAAAGTAAGCGATAGTTTCCACAGTTCAAAATTATCATTGTCAATATACTCCTGGATCTAAACCTCTCTCATTTGTATCCACCTGTTTTGGCCACTGTTCTATAATATCGGAACACCTATATTTCTTTTTGTTAAGCTATATCGACGTCAGTTTTGAAGTCCAATGGTTGGAAGAACACAATTTCATTAGATACAAAAATAATTTTGACTGGATTGAGAGGTTTTAATGCAATGACTTTATGATAACTGGCATGCAAAAATAAAAAATTAAAACATCTTACCCACTTCAACTGCAGCCAATTATAATTTGTTGCCAGCTTATTAGTTATTAAGGCACCAGCAATACTCCTTTTGACAAAATCCAAAATTAAATTATTAGGGTCTATAAAATATCACTTCTTTTCTCTAAAATATTTATTCATTTCCTTAAACTTTTTTAATTGTTTTGTAGCATCTTTGTAATGTTTACTATCGGATGGGATGACATATCTATAAATTATATTTATTACACATAATTTTTTAAAATTAAAATGAAACCACTCACCAGAATAAAATGACGAAACTATGTACTTATAACACGCACTAAAAAGTCTAAAGAACTGTCTTGTTCAATTATAATAAATTATACACAATTATTTATTTAATGAAATACTTAATAGTTAAATCCTTAAACATGAAAAACTAACAAAAACAATCTGTTAAAACGTGGTTGCCTGCAACACTTAAAAAAAAAACGAGCGAGTTTAGTTTAGAGTTTAGGTTAGGTTAAATGTTAAATAAATTGGATTTCGTCTTTTTTTCTTTGCATCTTTTGGCCTACGGTCAACAGAAATTTGGTAAAAGCATAGGTTTTTTAATAAAATAGGTATGCAACCAGGATTACGTACACTTAGGTACGTACTTAGTACGTACTTTTCTGTACGTACTGGTACGTACTATTGTGTACGTACTTAAAACGTACATTTTACGTCCTGTACGTACAGTACCAAAACTGTACGTACTTAAGACGTACTGTGCTGTTTGGGATGACAACCGCTTATAATAAAACATCATTCTTCTGCGTATCCTGAATTTGTATCCCTGGAGTGGATGTTATTTTGGAACTTTAAACTGGCCCGAGTGAGCTAACTGATTCTTTAGCAATAAACTGTGACTCCGAAAATAATATTCACTGACACTGACAGCAGCAAGCAAAATATCAGGTGCGTTTTAATCATCCGCTTCTGCTTCCGGAATTGTCGGTTTAGTCGTTTTAACCTGTCAGCGTAGCCTATGATATCGCCTACGTTTTTTAGGGAAAATATATTTTTTACGTATAAATTAAAAAGTACAGGCCCCAATACTGTCCCTTGAGGAACTTTATAAGCTATTTTTCCAATTTTACCATTTGAGTTCTATTTTGTAAATAACTTTGCAAAAGGGACAACTACTTCTTTGGTTAATACCTTACCAATATTTTCAACACTGTACCTTTGATTTTGCTTACTAAGGAGAAAAACATTCTTGGACCGGTTTCGTCCTTATTAGGACTCTTCAGCAAGAAATAAAAAATCCAGTCTCTAATGGAGTCTGATGGCAATAGGAAATTCACTCGTACATATTAACAATGGGTTGAGAGTGTGTAGATATTCAACTAGCGAAAGTGACAATGCCATCTGTACTTAGTAAGCAAAATCAAAGGTAGAGTGTTGAAAATATTTTCTTTTTGATTTTCATTTTAAAGTAATTCAATACCTGATGAAGTATTAGCCAAAGGAGTAGTTATCAAAAGAGAAACGGCCGCTCTTATTATTGTGACGCATGGCTTAGTTTATTTTGATTGTATTGTTTTTAATAATTTAAAATCTGGGTTAATCAACAAGGAGCACAATTTGCATTGAAAAAATAGAAGTTAACCTTCAAGTAGAATCTATTACTAATATTTTTTATTATTCGACATTTCCCCTAACCAATATCTGCAGATAGCGATTACAGTTTAATATTTGATATTCCCTAAAAGTTCTAATGAATAAAAATCTCTTTCAGGTGCTCTCCAGCACGATGGAACGTGTCGGTCACGTGTCCCTACAAAAAGTGTCACCCTCTTGCAATAAAAATAATATTAGCTTTTAGAGCGTGCACCCTTTGCGATTAGAGATATACTGTATTCGGTTTTTTAGGCTTTTTCAGAGGGCCGAGAATTTAATACTGCACTAGAATATTATATGTTAATAATAATAAAAAAAATATACAATTAAAATTTGTTTTAAAATACATTACAGTGGTTTTAATCCTATCCATCCATATTTATCTTTTTAGTTTTCTATAAAATCTGTTTTCTCTTGAGCCCAGTGGTGGATCTGGGATTTTCTTAAATGGGGACATGATTAGATTGTATTAAAATATAAAAATTGATAATCCATACAAATATATGAAAATTTAATAAAATAAGCTAAATACTTGCTTCGCCATTATCAATATATAGGATTACCAGTTTTGACAGTCGTTCTTGAGTCAAATCGGTATCTCCAGTTCTTATCTTTACTGGATTGAATCATCTAATTTAAGTAATTGCTGTCAACATGTCATTATACATAATTCTATATTATATGACGTTTCAGTCCTGTCCGATGTTCCTCGAGGTTCACATATTGGTCCACTATTGTTTCATTTATTTTTTTAATGATGTTACCTCCTGTTTTCTTAATAACCAATGCCTTCTTTTCGCAGATGATTTAAAGTTTTAGTAGAAACACTGGTAATAACTGTGCCTAAGAGTCATACCTAAATATATTTGTTACCTTTTGTAAAAATAAATGTTTCTAAATGTACAATCATACATTTTACAAGATCCCATAATACTACTCTTAACTATTACAGTATTGACAAGGTCTACTTAGTTTCTTGACCAATATTCACCTGGGCATTATTAGAATCTGTTAACAACCACATAGATTCCATAGTATGCAATGTCCTCAGAATGCTTGGCTTTATCAAGAGACATACTAAGAACTTTACAATAGCCTCGTAAGAAGTGACTGTTGTGTTTTTTGGCAACTTACACAGATGGGAAAAGTCATGTGTTTCGACTTCTCTTAGACATTCGACACGTATAACTATCAAATTTTACTACAATAATTAACGTCAAGGGACTATCTAATCTTCTTCTTTCACTTATCGAATCGTACTTAAAAAATAGATGTCAGTAGGTGCAACATCAAATATTTATGTCAATTTATTTTAAGCAAATCTCAGATGTACTGCAAGGTTTGATCCGTGAACCTCTGCTTTTCATAATTTTTATTGACGACATTATTGGGAAAAGTACAAACGTAAAATTTACAAGTGCAGGAAAAAATTAAGAATTTAGACGACTGTAACTAGTTTTGTGAAATTCGACAGAAAACACTAATTTTATTTTCTAGTTTTTTACAAAATTTTAAAAATTTACGTATGGATCAATAATACGGTCAATTTCAACATTGCTTATATATATATTTCAAAATCTTGAAAAATAAATTAGATTCTAAAATCATATACTTTGTTTTTGTAGCATTCACCGTTTATCTTCTATACATTTTACTTGCAATATCATTGGAAATATTTATTAACGAATTTTCTAATATTTTTCCTTATTGTAAAACCACCAAATCCATATGATGTTTTTCTGGTTTAATTAATCTGAAATTTTCTTTTATTGACATTTGAAGGGGCTCTATGTAAAGCAATTGCGGACAATACCTGCAAAAACGAGATAAGCTCCGGGACACGCCCTTTATTTTCACACCCTCGCAGACAGAGAGGTGGCGTTGAAAGGGCAAATATACGACGAAATCAAAGATTTAATGTCTAGTCTGATGGAATTAAATGAAACCTATAGTACTTGATTGTAAAACGATTGCTTCATAATTCAGATGGTAACATTTAAAACTTATGGAAGACCAGTAACTCTAAGATTTTCGAACAACTTGAGTTGGATAGCTAAGTGTTGTTATATTACTGGATACACAAATTAACTTTAAAATATATTTTGCTCTTTCTAAAAAATTAGCAAAAGTAACCAGGTGCATTGCATTTTAAACTACCCCTGTACCTATTTTCCTGAGTAAAATTTGCTAAAATCATAAAATGCTACAAGTAAAGAAATTCAATTCTGTTTATGGCCACAATCAGACATCTACTGTTAAATAGCATTTTAAAGATTGTTTATTGACAATAGTAGCTTAAATGAAATAGGCGAATGAGTTAGAAATATATAAATCTCACTAATTAAAACCTAATAGAATAAAAAAAAACTATGCCTAGTCTACTTCACAGTTTTTAACCAATAGACGATATACTTTCATTAGGATGAATCTATTTTTATCTAAAACAGTGTTGCCTTTTGTACCTCGCAGTAATCTCTTCACTTTAGGATTCAATTTCCACCAACTGTTAAATCCTGTGTAAAACTGGACGTCGTTGTGTTCTTATGGTTTATATAGAAGAGCTTGCAACAAAAGCAAAACAGCGATTTCTTTTCATGGGAATAAATCATCTCAAAATCTTTTCTCCACTAGAAAGCTGCTTAAAATATTAATTTGTTGTTAACTACCGAGTTTGGCTTCTTGGGTTTTATCCCAGCTCCTGAACTGACTCAAAAGATCCATTCAAATTTTGGTAATTTGCACGGCCTCGTATAATAATGTCGGTTCTAAGACCATCTGGGACTGGAATGGGTCAATTCTCAACATCTAAATTTGATGATATATTCTCCTATTCATCTGATGGATCCGAGCCCGCTTCAGAGTGTATCAAAGGAGTTTTGTTATCTTCATCTCTTCCTTCTTCTTCCTTCTCTTCGTCCTTTTCTGTTTCTACTTCTATATCCTTTTCTTCTTTTTTCTTCTTGCTCTTGATTGCTTATGTCTTTAACTCGTTGATAACAGCTTGTACCTGGACTTTCAATGGATTGCTAAATATTGAACAAATAGGTCTGCTTTTTCTTGATTGCTTTTAGTCCAAAATCCTATATTTGGCGATTCTATGCATACAGAACACATACTTTGATTACTATACAGTGCAAAAGAGACGTCCGACGCGCCCAACATAGGGCGCGGCCATTTTGATGCAATTACTACTAGGTTAGGCAAACTGCAAAAGCTAGTTGGTTTTTATCTTATAATTTATCTGAGACAGACACGTTGAATTTGTATAACAGTTATTTTTTTTCCAAATAAACTATTTAGCAGAGGGGGCTATTTTCTTAGTGAGGCTGTGGGCTACCTTTACTTTCAGGTGTGTATATGAGCCAGAGGTAGTAAACCTGAAATAAATAAAAACAAATATTATAATATAAATGTTCTAAAAAATAAACAATATTACTTACATTTTTATTTATATTGTTTTGTTTGATTGTAATACTGTTTCTATCTATTGAAGTAAATGCTTTAATTTTCTTAGTATTTGCCTTCTACAAAGAATTGTTTCATGATTGATCACATACCTTTTTACATAAGAGCAATAAGCATTTTCCTCAAAATGCTGAGAACAGACATAACAGAGTTTAGCTAAAAATAATTTCTAAACAATTTAATTAATGATTTGTAAACACTGTTCAAGTTAAGGGCTCGAAATTCCTAGGAGACTTGAAAAATAAAAAGCATTTAGAATACAACAATAGGATCATAATTAAAGTAGTTACTGTTACTTACAAATGGAAAGATTTAACATAAAATCACCAAGTAAAGCAAGGTTTTCAAGATATTCATTATTTGTTAATGATTCTGTAAAGTGTAGGTTCGTAAATAATAACTTTGGGGACTGACTTTGGGTAAATATTATAACATAACCACCAAAAATATTGCGCCAAGATGTAGGCAACACGGAATAAGTGTTTAAAATGACGGCGTTTTCTATCTCCTTTTAAAAGGCACTCAGAAAGCTGCGCAGTGCGACTATTCTTCGTATAGTAAGAAAAAATCGAAGTATGTGGTACAGAAGCTTTTACAGAAGCTTTTATTGGTCGCCATATTCAGTTGTTGCATTGATTTAGGCGAAAAATGTAATATGAAATATTCCTTTAGACTTACTTACTTACTTACTTACTTACTTTTCTTTAAAAAGCTCAATGTAATTGAAACTTAAATCAATGGCGACTCCATTCCCTTTTTAACATATATTTTTTTAATAAAATGCTCAGGAATTGTAAGATTTTTTTATCACGAAGGGGGCATGGTTCCCATGGCCCCCCTGAAGTGGCCCTTGACTTTTATTTTTGTTGATACATGTTGTTTTGAGAGATTATCTAAATATATTTGTTCTAAATATGTTAGAAAAATATATATCTTCGTGAATAAACGTCTTTTGTTAATTTTCTTAATTAATACCCTTTTGGCAACTAAAGAATGCTTAGATTTGACTTAAGAAGTAACTTTTACACACTTGTTAAATAAATTCAATGATATTAGTAACATCATCATAAGTTCGATCAATACACGTACATAACACTCCAAATAAAACTAATAAAAATCATCTTTTGTTAGGGAGGAGCCACGTTCATCCAGAACCATCCCTTTTCGCACCCTTCTATTCATCCCATTGGTCGTCATCCCAGAGTCTGGATGCTGGCGATAAGGACAAGAGAACGGGATGTCGAAATTGATAATCGTAAATTTGTTGTTCCGGTGTACTAGAGTGATGTGGGTGGTTTAGAAAAACATTCATGCTGTTCGTTGTTTTATCATAAACAATTTGTGGTTTGTATTGCCAATAATAGTGAGATTATTGGAATTTTAAGTGTTAGTTGTTATTTATATTGTGGTTTGTTGGAAGATAACAATTCAAATGGTAAGATGGATTTTACTTAAATTATTATATCAAGTTTGTTTAAAAGGATATCCAAGTAAGATATAAAACGGTGTCGTTTCGAAATTTTGTATCCTGTTGAGGTGCGGTTATTAGATAATGTCGAAGATTTATATTTATATTTCCATAAGACACTATTAATTGCATTGGATCATAGTCTTCATAAACAAACTACCTACAGTTGAATGACATATTTTTAAAAACAAAAGATACTGTCTTTGTGATGAAAAAAATAAAAAGGATTTACGATTAGGGATTCTTTAAGATGTATTTTAAATTGTCTAATATTTCTAATATATTCTTGGCCAGGAGCAAATGAAGAAGGTGATTTTGTCTCGTTGGATAACTATGACATTCATTATTATAGACAAAAGTTTTTTACGAACAAAAAATATAAATATGTTTCAATTACTCGATACACGATTTACATCTACAAATAATTTCAATGTTGCGAATATTTTTTTACACCATGAAGAATGAAGATAGATGATGCAGTTGTGGCATTACCTCAGAGACAGACACCATAATAACGTAACCTACAGTCGACTTGTGCATAGTACAAATCTTTGTGCCCTTAAAAAAGAATTAAATGCAGTTCTGATTGATACATCTGATGTTTGCAGCTCAATTTCAGTAAACAAAATTGATTTTATTCTTGTAAAAATTAAACCCCACTATCAGTCTACCTTTATTTTACTCATATACATACCGCCAGCTTATTCTGCTGATGACTATGAGGCTGTGTTTGAGGCGATATCATTACTAAATATTCTTTATGATAATCATCTTCTAGTACTAGGAGATTTCAATGTGCCAGAGTATATTTCTCAAATAAACAATTCTAGCTACTCGCCTAGATTAAACGTCGTACAATCATTTGCGAATTTTTTAAACTTAAATCAATTCAATTTGATAGAAAATACATATCATCGTCTTAGATGAAGATAATTATCACCCCTCTTTGTGTATTGATGTCCCCATTAAAATTAGAGTTAAGAGCTTACAGTGTAAACCAGACCAGGTGCAATATAATTACAAAAAAAGCAGATTTTCCAAAATTATACAATGTACTACTCAATATCAATTGGAATTTTCTAGATTCTGCAAGCAGCGTTGATGAAAGTGTTCAACTATTGAACAATAAATTGTTTATTACTTTTAATAAGCATATACCTGGTAAAAAACCTAACCTTAGGACCTGCCCTCCTTGGTTTAATGGTCATATAATATGCATGATTCGTCAAAAAGAAAAAGCCCGAAAAACATACAAATCCGCTTATTCCATAGATGCATTTACTAAATTTAAGAACCTTCGAGACCAAATTAAACAAGACATTTCTATAGCTCACACCTCATATTTAAGATCAATTGAAAATAATATTAAAAATGATCCAAAACAATTCTAGTCATATCTAAAATTCTAAAAATTCTTCCTTTTCTATATCCACTACTGTTAAATGTAATAATGACTGTATAGAAGATCCACAGGCAATTGTTCAAGCTTTTGCAGATCACTTTTTAACAATTTCTCCAAGCCAACTTAAATAAATCACTTCATCAACGAATCTACCATTAATTTACCTTTGCTTCACTTTAATTCTGTATCTCAAGATGAAGTTATTCGAGTCCTAAAAAAGCTTAAACCCAATATGTCAATGGGTACTGACCTTATTCCTTCGTTTCTTGTCAGAGACTGTGTACTAATTTTGGCCACTCCGTTGAAACATATATTTGATTTAATTTTGAAAACTGGTATTTTCCCTACTGCCTGGAAAATTTCTGGAATTACTCCGGTACATAAAAAAGGTAGCAAAAATGATGTTTGTAATTATCGGCCCATAAAAGCATTCTTTGCAATTCTGCTTAAGATTTCGTATTTCGAATCATGTTTCTCGTCTTATATCTTATGACCAACATGGATACATGAAAAATAGATCTACAGTTACAAACCTTGTATGTTCGATGCAATTCATTTCGGAAGCCTTGGATAGAAGAAGTCAAGTTGATGTAATATACACAGATTTCTCCAAGGCCTTCGATAAAATTGATCATTCCATCTCGCTCCACAAGTTAAGTTCCCATTGGTTTATGCGATCAAATTATTCAATTGATTGGTTCGTATTTGTTGGGTAGGCATCAATATGTTCAATGTCGTGGTTACAGGTCAAAAAATTTCGAACAAACATCAAGAGTTCCGCAGGGATCAATTTTAGGTCCTCTTTTATTTATAATTTTTATAAATGATGTAGTCACTAATATCGAGCATATTAAAGTTTTAATGTATGCCGACGACCTAAAATTATTGCTTTCAAATCAATTCTGTTAATCATTGCTTGCGACTTCAAAAATGTTTGTCCGACATTGCGAAGTGGTGTCTCGATAATTTACTCCCTCTAAATCCTGAGAAATGTTCCGTAATGTCCTTTACTAAAAAAGTAACAATTTTTGATTATAAACTACAGAACATTGTTCTAAATCGACCCGAATTTATAAGAGATCTCGGAGTTTATTTTGATCCTGAACTAACTTTCGTTAAACACATTGAAACGATGTTATCTGCTGCTAACAGGAGCTTAGGCTTAGAATTCCGAGACATATTAACCTCAAAAATTCTATATATTAGCTTTGTACGGTCAAAACTTGATAACTGTTCTGTTGTTCGGAATCCCGTGCATAACATTTATACTGACTTATTCGAAAAAGTTCAAAGAAAATTCATGAAACCGGCTTCCTACATTTTAGATGGAATATGTCCTACAAGGGGATATCCCCACGATTTACTTATAAGTAAGTAGATTCAATCTTTAAGAGCTCGTGATACGCAGAAATTTCCATCAGGTACTACTACTACTACTACTTTATAATCTTTTAAATGGCTCAGTCGACAGTATTGATTTGTTAAATTACATTACTCTAAAAATCCCCCGTGCTGGTTTAAGAGTTTACTTGAGTTTCTACATGCCAGCTTCTAGAACTAATGTTTTGAACTCATCTCCAATGTACCAATCTATTCAAAAATATCATGAAATATTTTGGCCTGTAAAAAATATATGATTAAAAATGTATTTTCTTTAACAATGTAAAAAAAATTATGTAAAGCATGTAATGCAATGTAAACAACCATTTTTTTATCCTGTGTTGGGTTTTTTTCTGGATGTTTACGTTGTATTGTCTAGCTTTTTGTTCTAATGTTTTGTCTTTCCCACCCAGTAAATGGTGATTACTGTTGGGTGGTGTAACAAATAAATAAATAAATAAAAGTTGCGATTTTTTTAACAACTATTTCCCATTGACTACTTATCTCCAAAACATCTGTTGAGGATATTGTAATTTACTTTTATTTTTTATCTATAAAAGAGAATAGATACAAATCCCTCGTGTCACTTGTTAAAGCAGATTTACATTTAAAATAAAATATTTAAAAAAAATAGACAATATATCCCCTATATGGGCAATAATATATTTTGAAAATTGTGTCTGGCAAATAATCATGATTCCTGTTAACTAATTCATTTAACTCACTATCAGAATTTTCTTCTTTAGGAAAACTGAAAGGAAAACATTTTTGTTATTTGGGCTTTATGTGTTAGTTAAAATATGTAAGTTTTATATAAAATGGTATAATTTGATTTACAATGAAGGTAATCTTAATCAAAACGATGGTGTTATAGCTTATATCAATATAAAATACGATTTTCAATATAAAATAGTAAAAGTACAAAATTTTAATTTTTTTACAAATTATTGTAAATTTTAATCATCAAAATAAAATAAATATGACTGGTTGCTACAGACCGTCGGGTTCAAACGTACAAAATTTTTTAATAGCATTATAAAATTACTATGGTCATCATGCTAATAGCTTTGAAAACTACAACTTTTTCGTAGGAGATATAAATATAAATTTATTACAAGATAGTGAGGACAAATTAGAATACATTAACATCCTAAGTGAACACGAGTATCTCTCAACAATTAATAAAACAACCACAATATATAAAACATGTTTAGATCACATATTCATTAAAACAAAATTTAATACAGAAAATATATTACCTTTCATAATTACAAACGATGTAACGGATCATTACACAACTATACTACAGATTATATTTTCAGATAAACAAGAAAAAAACGAACATAAAAACTAAAACATATACAAATTATAAAAAACTCTCTAACTATATAAACTCTGTCTCGTGGGATGTTGTATATTTAAAGCTAATCCAGAATCTGCAACAAAGACTTATTAAGGACGCTTTAAAACAAAGTACAATAACTAAAAAAATTAAACGAAAAAATACTAAATTATCCCCTTGGCTAAGAAACGGTATTTTACAGTCTATTAATACTAAAAACAGAATGTTTAAAGAAACTTTAAATAATCCCGGCAATGAAATTCTAAAAATCAGTATAAAAGATACCGTAATAGTTTAATAAATCTTATTTCAAAAACAAATTTGAATTCTATAAAAAACCAATTAAAACTAATTCTGGTGATTCTAAAAAATGTGGGAAATTGTAAACAAATTAACAGGTAAGAACAAGAAAAATGAAAAAAATTAGTAAAATAACTGATATTGAAGGAAGACACCTAACAAATGCAAAAGATATATGTAATGAATTTAATCAATAATTTATCAAAATGGGAAAGAATTTGGCCTAAAAAATTACAAAAACTTATTACCAAGATCAAAAGCAACCACCAGTGAATTCTATGATGTTGTCTCCTACTGAAGAAAACGAAATCATTAAAGTTATCGCTGAGTTAAAAAATAAAAAAAGTAATAGGAACCGACGAAATACAAGCAGAAATCCTAAAACATATGTCAAAAGAAATTGCGGGCCCACTCAAACATTATAAATATATGCTTTGAAAAAGGTGTATTTCCTAAGAAACAATTGTAACACCGAGCTACAAAAAAGGTGATAAAACTTTAGTTAATAACTACCGACCAGTATCTTTGAGAATTCATATATCTAAGATTTTTGAAATGAATAAAAATTACACTCACTTCATATATGTCTGAGTACAAAATATTGTCTCCAAAACAGAGAAAATACTTCAACAGAAGATGTTATCCTAGCGTTAGTAGAAAAAATATACGAAGCTCTAGATAAAGGTAGACAATGTATGTGTGTATTTATGGATCTTACAAAAGCTTTTGATACTGTAAGTCATGAGCTACTCCTACAGTCTCTTAAAGATATGGTAATAAGAGGAAAAAGCCAAAAAATGTTTAAAAGCTACCTCACAAATAGAAGGCAGATTGTTAGAGTTGCTAATAAAACGAGCAACTCTGAAACACTAGAGTATGGTGTTCCTCAGGGTACTGTTCTTGGGCCTATACTTTTTAATTCATATATAAACGGACTTTTTTTAATACAAAGCTGCGGTGCAATAATTGGATTTGCTGATGACACAGTAATATTTTATGAGGGACAAGACTGGAATACTCTAAAAACAGTTGTTGAAAATGATTTCGCTTCTATTAAACAATTCTTAGACTCAAAATTACTGACGCTAAATCTAGAAAAAAGAAAATACTCACCCATCAGTTGCAATGCAGGTCGATTACCAGAATTTCAAAGTTTAAAGATCACTAGCAATGGAAAAGTGTATAATATTTTATCTGAAAAAGAATAGAAGTATCTTGGCGTATATTTTGATAAACATTTAAAATGGGATTGTCACATAAATTATACAGTTAAAAAGCTACAAATTATTCTCTATAAATTTAAATTTTTAAAAAAACATTTGCCTATAGAACAACTTCGAACTTTATACTATTCTCTTGTAGAAAGTCATATACGTTATAGTATTGTAGCATGGGGTAGTGCTCTGCATAGTCACATTAATAACCTAGAAATAATACAATGCCGATTTTTGAAATTAATAATGAATAAAAATTTTAGATACTCATCAGATATACATTACGAAGAAAGCAAAATATTAGATATAAGACAAATGTACTTTGTTTCCACCAATCTAAAATATTACCCTACTAGACTCACAGCTACAATACCATCTCATACTTACCTAACCCGGAATAGATCAAATCATATTGTACCCTTAGTGGAAAGATCTTTAACTCAAAGGTCTTTTTCATATCTAGGACCTAAGATGTATAATCACTTACCAGAGGAAGTGCAATCCAAGGTTACTTTCCATTTGTTTAAGAAATACTTAAAAATATTTACTTTCAATACCCCAACAAAATATATTTCAGATCTAATTGAAAAAAACCTAAAAACTACTCACTATTTAAGAAGGATTGATGCTTTCGTATTATAACTTATCAAGCAATATTTATATCAGACACTTCGATGGTATGATCCATTTCTCTTTCTTTCCTTATTTTTTAGTATTATTATTATTATTATTATTATATGTATATTATGTATGTTATGTATTACAGTATATCTACTCTATATTGCGTAACAAGTGTTAAGTCACTTAACGTGAGCCAATTTATTCATTTCTCTATTTTTTCTGTATCAAATGTGTTTTATAGGTACTATTTTAATGAATAAATTATTATTATTACTACACTGTATTTTTTTAAATACTACCCTGTTTATTGATATCATTTTATATACTATACTATGAAATGTTGATTTCTTTTTATCAAATGCATTCCGTCTATTGCAGTTACGAAGAGTGCATGAAATTATTATTTGCTTTCACAATATTAGTTAAATATCACTCAAATAGAAAATAAAAACACGAAAAATTGATCATACAAATCACATGAATGAAACCACAACTATGCGACAGCTATTTGACGTAAGTGTCGCATCAATATGGCGGACTGATGCCGCTTTTGACCACGTAATCGCGTCTTCTTATAATACTACCACAATGGGTTAACATATAGGAGGAATAGCATTAGACCCAAAATTGATCTCTGTGGCACACCCATCTGTCATAAGGAACTAGAAACAACCGAACGTATACTGAGCAACTGCGAGGCATTGGATCGCAAAAGACACTGTTTGGACACCCTGTAGTACTTGTACAATCTTGTACAAGGGATTAAGGTGACAGAGTGGGTACTATTTGTACTGTAAATTAACATGGGTCAAATACAATAGGCCATTAGGCTCCAGTGTTGTCGGAGAATAAGTTAGACAAGTCCAGGAAAACCCATATCTGCTGATAAGAGATAGATATTGGTTTGGCTCAAAAATTATTACATATTATTTCGATGAAAATCATTTATAAATTAAAATTGGCTACATAAGATTTTGTTTGTAGTTGTAATGCATATACAGAGTGAGTTTAAAGAATGGAACGTCCCAATTATCTCGGAAACGGCTTGCGCGTTTATAAACTTTGGTATGTAAATGTTTTGTAATACGGCCGATAATATGGTTGTATTTACATTGTTGTCAGATCTTTCGGTTTTCTGGAAATATAATGAACTTTGTTATTTCACTCCTTTTTATATCCATAAGTTTGCTATAACAGTCGCTGGCTATTGCAGGGTGCATAGTAACAATATTTTTTTAATTTGTTTTTATATTGTCTTGCTATTACGAGTAATTCTGCCGTTAGAGATTTAGGAGGACTGATAATATTTTTAGAATGATACCATTTTGAAATATCTTCTTTTTTCCATCTGTTGTACAGTGTGTCTACTTAAGTAGGAACCATATGGAAAACATTTTTATTATTGATTTTAGAAAAAAAAGTTATTCTTGATAAAAAGTCCTGCATGACCCAAAACTTAAAATACAGTCATCACATATCAAATTTTTCAAGCCGTATACGAGGTTTGTCAAAAAATATGAATTTTGCTCAAGAGTAAAGTACGTTTATTTTTTTACAAAATCGAAAATTTTCATTAAGAAATTTGCTAAATTCTTCACAAACATCAACAAAAGGAAAGCGTATCATGTTTATAGTAACTAACGTAATTTATAATGTTTTCAGATATTTACAATCAATGTGTAGAGTGTAGAGTTTATAAAAAATAAGAAAATCTGTTTTTCATATAGATCGGTCTAATTGCATATTTGAATGTATTATTCAATTCTAATCAACTTCTCTTAATGAAAATTTTCGATTTTGTCAAAAATAAACGTACTTTACTCTTGAGCAAAATTCATATTTTTTGACAAACCTCGTATACGGCTTAAAAAATTTGATATGTGATGACTGTATTTTAAGTTTTGGGTCATGCAGGACTTTTTATCAAGAATAACTTTTTTTCCTAAAATCAATAATAAAAATGTTTTCCATATGGTTCCAACTTAAGTAGACACACTGTATGTAGTGACTCCTTTAATCAACTCTGATTCACTCATTACATAAAATAATATATTTCGAAACTGGTTTCATAAATAGCTATTTTTAGAAAAGTTATTATTAAAAGCCGAATTGCATTTTATTAGGTTTTTATATTTGTAGCCGATGCTGACTCACATAATGAGTCCATCTGACATGGATTGCTATGCAGATGGAGATAACACCGATATTAGCACATCGTCATCACCGAACGGAGGGAAATCCTGTCACAATCAAGATCAAGACTCGTTGTCTGACGATGACGATTTTTCAGACGAATTTTCAATCATCGACAGCGACGATGAGAAAAAAATGGAAGGAAGACATCAACATACTCAAATGATTCAGGTAAAACCCAAACCAATAATATTGTTTATTATAAATTAAGACGTTTAATAGATTCATGAGATTCATGAATTTTTTCAGAAGTCAATTAATGTTATCTTGAAACAAGGATCAATGACTTAAAAAGTTTTGTCCTGCATCCACAGATATATCATTCTTTTATTTGCTCTATACTGCACACTTTTTCTTAGGGACAATATTGTTCGGTTTTATAGAAGCGAAATTTTATATAATAATAAACCGACTCGTTCCTAATAAGTGTTAGACGATGATTACGATACTGTAATTATGTCGAAGTGACACCATTATTTTTAAATTCGACAAAATTTGACAAAACAGCATTTTAATGTGGCAAACTGAAAATGATTTAAACATAATTTCATGCTTCTTGTTTTTTTAATTTGGCCGAATTCTCATTAAGTTTATTAAGAAGTATTTTGTCACTCTAAGAGATTTTTATTTTCGGCACCTTCAGCTTTAATTACCTGCATAAGTTTTCTAAATAATTCATTGTTGCTTAGTTCGTTATCTCCCATCTCTACATTCAATATAATGACACGAATTCAATATCAATTAAAAACCCCCAACAAAAAGTTTAAAGACAACTTGGTATATCGATTTATTCCTCTATTAATTATTGAAATCAGCGTTTTTGGCACCAGAAGATTAAAATGGTATAGCTAGGTACAATTTTAGAAATATAGTACTTTACCTGGCTCAGGTGCAAAATCTTAGAATAAATTATACTCTGGAGCACTAGATAATTGATACACTGGAACACTGGATATGAATTTGACTTCAACAATTTGAGCAGGCGGAAGAACCATCCCTTTGAAATTTTTTGTATTTTGTTAAGCTTTTATGTTTAATTTTTGCTTTTAGCTTTCTATGGAAGTTCCAAATACGAAAGGAGTAGTTAAGAAAATTTTTACTAACAGTAGAGAGAGATGGAGGCAGCAAAATGTAAGTGGTGCTTTCGCTGAGTTGAGAAAATTGGTACCGACGCATCCGCCAGATAAAAAGTTGTCGAAAAATGAAATTCTTAGAATGGCTATAAGGTAAAAATTGTTTTTTTTACTCTCCTTTATCCAGTGAGAAAAGTATATATGAATAATTATTTTTTCGACCTTAAGTTTCGGCAGATCTTCTACATTTATATTTTGTTGGTGTTAAAATATTATGTACTCCTGTAATTGGGACTTGGCCTGCTAGTTGTATAATTATTATTTAAATAAATTAATAAATAAACCTGCCCACAGCAAAATATCCTGATACACATTTCCTATTTTTCCAGATATATACGTCTCTTGTCCAACGTCCTAGAATGGCAACAAACCAATACGAACTCCATCCAAATTTGTGTGAAAAACGAGGATACGGTCACCATAACCGGTCATCCAGGGATGATATCAGGCCTACACACCCTCCGCACTCGAGCCAGGTTGCGGCGCAACAACCACTTGACCAATAATCACAGCAACCATCAGCAACTTCCTATTTGCGACCGAAATGGGAACAACTTGTTGATGATAGCACCGAACAATCATCTACCGCATCGCAGGTGTTTCGTCAGCGACCGGTACGGAAGAATCAAAATCGAGAACAAAGATAAGGATGATGACGAGTTAAAGGAAAATAAGATTAGAGAGGATAATTAGTCATTATAGATGTTGTAATTTTTAAAGTTTATTTTACTATAAGAAAATGTAAGATTTTTTTGTATTGAAAGGAACACTTTCAGTGTTAAAGCCATTATCAGGTAACTGAAAAAATTAGCCAGTAAGTAAAAAGGAACTATCGAAAAAATCGATTAACACTTACATCATCAAAAAAATATATAATTTAGTAAGTATATAACATAAGGAACTAAAAAGTTGATAAAGAAGCACTTGACGTAATATTAAATAAAGGGAATTAAATTAATATAATTTCTCCTTCTATACAATTTAAATACAAAAAATCTTTCATTTTCTTATATTACCCGGTAGATACACACCGTATACCCTTCTGAATTATTTAACCTACATTGTTTCGTTTATAAATAATTAAGTCGTATAGTTTTCAAATCAGCTCTATATTCGTTTAAAGAAATGGTGTTGGTTTTGAAATTAGATGACACCATAGAGGAATTCTGCAACAAGAACAATGCAGCTAACCTAACAAATTAAAAGTAACACTAATGACATAAGAAACAGACCGTGGGTTCGAGTAGAAACTCAGGTTGTTCAGAGTTCTAATCACATACTTTTCTTTTACTATATGGAGAATGGTCGCACTGCGCAGCTTTCTGAGTGCCTTTTAAAAGGAGATAGAAAACTCCGCCATTTTGAACCCTTATTACATGTTGCCTACATCTTGGCGCAATATTTTTAATAGGTGCGTTTTAATCATCCGCTTCTGCTTCGGAATTGTCGGTTTTCTTGTTTTAATCTGACAGGTTAGAACGAATGAACCGACAATTCCGGAAGCAGAAGCGGATGGTTAAAACGCACCTGATATTTTGCTTGCTGCTGTCAGTGTCAGCGAATTAGGCATTCCAACGACCTGTCCAAATGGCTACCAGTGGGTAATGACAGTTTAGATATGGCAACCCTGTTGTCATGTTGTCATTAACAGGGTCAATGATACATATAGTTATATAGATTGCTCAAAGCTGGTCGTTTACGAGCGGCCATATTGCCTGGAAAATATTTATTAATTTGAATCGGTTTAGCAAAAATATGTTTTAAAACCAATTTTTAGCCTTTAGATATTTAAAAAAAATAATTGCTTACATTTTTACTTCAAGGCATACGCTTATGTTTATTTTGAAAAATATGGATAATCAATCTATGTAACTATCTATTTCATTGACCTTGTCAAATCACCAGGTCTACAGGGTTGCCATAATTTTGCAATATCATAACCCGTCAAAGCCCACTGGTAGGCATTCAGTTTGGAATGCCTAATATTATTTTTGGAGTCACAGTTTATTGCTAAAGAATCAGTTAGCTCACTCGGGCCAGTTGAAAGTTCCAAAATAACATCCACTCCAGGGATACAAATTCAGGATACGCAGAAGACTGCTGTTTTATTATAGGCGGTTGTCATATATTGTATTATCTGAGTTGCGCAGTGTATAAACTGGAACATTGAGATAAAAAGTGCCGACGCAGAGTGAGCGATCTGATTCTTTAGCTATAAACTTTGTCATAGGGTTCAAAATGGCCGTTCCCTATGTTGGGCGTGTCGGACCTCTCTCTTGCCCCGTATAGTAATCAAAGTATGTAGTTCTAATAGAAATCGAAATGACTCAAAGTGTACTCTTTTAACTATGTGTTAAGATACCGAGATCTGTCAGGAAGTCAAATAATGAACTGTCAATTATGTCAATGAACCGCACATACTATTGTTCTGTGGTTTTGTGCTGGATATTATTTGTATTTAAAAATTATTTAACACATGTAAATTATTAATATTTTATATTCTATTGTAAAGCATAATAATTAACTAACCATTAACTGACATCCTGGATTGAGGTTATTAATTTTACTCTGAGTGACAGAGCGCGTTTGAGATGTTACTAATAGTGCATTTTATTTGTTGCACACTGTCACACTCGACACTGTATTCGAACTGGCATACTTGTCAAAAGTATATGCTACACTCAAGTATATGTCCAATATTTGAAGCTACACTGAACAAAACAAATATGCGATTAGTGCAAAAAACTTACACCTAGTGCAACAAATAAAATTCACTATAAATTTCTTCTTTGACTTGACAGGTTACTGCTCATGCCCTGCTCCACTCCATAGGGTGTCATATCGAACTTGCCCAAAGTCACATAAAGGGGGTATTTTTTCGTTTACTATTTTGTTTTTTGTATACATTTATACCTTTTATTTACTACGTACCCATAACGTAAAAAATACTAAAGAGAAGAAAAAATACAAAGTCTGTTTTGACCACAGGATCTTTAATTAGATTGCTTGCAAGCTAAAAAAAAGATGAATAACATGCTACTTTTAATACATCTAAGATTTGGTTGAAGCTAGGATAAACAAACTTCTGACAGTTTGGTTCGCTAGTGGCTTATCAAGAAATGTTTTCATTAGAATCTAACTGATTGTTAAATTTTGTTAAACTTATCTGAGGTATGACGTATATTTTCCAATTATTTACAAATTTTTTTAATGAGGCAAAGTATCCAAACAAATATTTTCTTTGAATATACTCGTAAATGTAACACAATGATATATCTTGGTTTCAAACAATCCTTGACCGTAAACTATCTATTTTCTTTTGTTTATCTGACTTTAACCAGGCTTCAACCGTGCTTCAACCTAGTATTGAAAATTATTAAGTGGATAAATACATGCTTCATCAATTTTTATAAAATAATGTAAACGTAAACATTGTTCTGGATTAAGTTGAAATATTTCTAAATTTGCCGGAATACCTTCAAAATTATCTATGTTGTTTTGTTATGTTAAAAAGAATTGTTTATATTAAACATATAAAACTATCTATTCAAATATTAAATATTTACTAAACAAAATGTTTGTTTTTTTACATTTTAATTCAACTGTCAAATGCCACTTTATATATAATTAAAGTTAAAATTAAATCAAATTACCTTTAACCTTTTTTTAAGTTCTTCGAATTTTGTTTTGTTTTTGAAAATACGTTTCTCCAGGTTTGCCTAAAAAAATAAATTAACAATTGATTTTTCGCAAAGGATGCGTTCACCCCGTACACATTAAAGTACTAGTAATATCCCAGATTTGAAGCAAAGCCTCTCGCATGACAACCAAAAATGCGCTGGTTTCAGATAGTAACTTGTATAATCTAAAGGTGAAATGAGAAAAGACTTAGATAAATGAAGATATGGTTTAATCATAGCCTCTTGTCATTCAACTCTAAAAGAAAAACATATTACTTACCATTTAGTTCTTATAGCTGCGTTCTTCTGGATTGTAACCTTATTGGAAATACGTTTACCATTACTCCTGTAAGAAAAATAAAATACTTTGTGTTATATTAGATAGATAGCTTAAGATTTATCTCATAGAATATATCAAGCTATTGGACCAAAATCTTATTCTCTTTGAGGTCCCAAAATGTATACATTACTCCCCTATGATATTAGAAACGACTTTAAATTTCCGTTATATACAAAAAATAAAAATAATTACGTCACGTGCTATTGCACATGAAATTGTTGTAAATTCAAATTAAATTACATGTTTGAGTCAAAAATATTATTGCTGTTGTTTACATTTTAGTTTTATTATAGTGTGTAAACGGATACTGAAAAAAAAAAATATTTATTTAAAATTTTTAAAAATAAATAATTGTAGATTTTCAAAATTAAAAATGTTTAAGTATATTTTTTGGAAACAATTTAATAAAAAATTTCATTAAAGCTTTTCGACTTATCTTTACGTGCTCTTCAGTTGAGCGCTTGAAAAAAAATATTTAATTTTGCAAATCTACAACTATTATATTTTTTTACTGCGCACCTTGTACAATAAAATCGAAGTTTTTTAATGTGAATCGTATTTATTTAAATTTAAAATACTCGTAAAAAATTAGGTTAGGTTGATACTCTATTTTTTATGTAAGTTCATTTATTATACTCTTCAGTCTGTGAAGAGTATTGTAGGTTTACTTTCAAGAAACCAACATGTTTAATATTTATTCAAATTTAAAAATTTTTGTACTAAAATTTTGTTCATCAAATTTTAAAAAACTTTTAATATTGTCCGTCGGATCTCACGTTTTTTGTCCGCATGATAAGTCAAAAACGAGAAATGATATGAATTTAAAATTTTCAGAAAACATGAATCTCTATAAGGGTACAAAGCCAAGTACGAAAGCATTTCCATATCATGGGGCTGCCAGAATCCGCACTCTGCAGAGGGTGCAAACAAGAAGATGAAACCATCGAGCATTTCATTTACGATTGCTCGACGCTCTCATTTATTAGAAGATTTGTGTTCGGCGAGTATCGGCTAACACCGGCCGATATAAGAGAAGCACCTCTTGGCGACGTTGTCAACTACATTAAATCTATAGGCTGGCTCACGAGCTAGGAGGTGCCTATCTCCTCATGAGGATGCACAATGGGCCTAATGAGGTCTAAGTGCCGTGGGGTAACCTACCCTCCACACGTTACAGATACAGAAGGGTACAAAGCTTATTGATTTTGAAAAAAATCAGATTAAAAAAAATTACAAAACAAAAACGGAAAATAATATCAACTTGAAATTGTCAGGAAAAATCAATATCTACAATGGAACAAAGCTTATTCGTTTTTAAAAAGATGTGATTAAAAATGGAAGGGTAAGGGGAGTCCCTACACACGTTACAGATACAGATACAGAAGGGTACAAAGCTTATTGATTTTGAAAAAAATCTGATTAAAAAAAATTACAAAACAAAAACGGAAAATAATATCAACTTGAAATTGTCAGGAAAAATCAATATCTACAATGGAACAAAGCTTATTCATTTTTAAAAAGATGTGATTAAAAATGGAAGGGTAAGGGGAGTTAAAATTAAAAAAAAAACATTAAAAAAAAACATTAAAAAAACGAAGAACAATATCAAATTGCAATTTTTAGGACACATCAATCTCTATAAGGGGACGAAGCCTATAAGAAAATGAACAATCACAAAACTAATATCCTAACATGGGTATTAAAGGAAATAGTATTAAACCTCAATTCTTGAAAACAGAACACAGTTTGTAGAAATTGGAAATTAGGATGATGAAATTGTTACTGATATACCGCAAGGCCCAGTCCTGGGACCAGTATTATTTCTCATTTATATACACTTCCTGGTTACATATGACTTTAATGCCCAATATTTCATCTTTTGCTAGGAATACTGTAATTGTTTTCTATGCTAATTCTAGGACCGAAGTAAAAAAAAATACAGAAAATTACGTAAACTACATAAAAAATGTTTTGATGATGTGAGCCTTATGATAAATGTGGATAAAACTAAATTTTTGAAATTTATAGATTAGATAATTAAAAACGTAAATTTCATTACTTAGTATAAATACTTTAGATCCATATTATTTACCTTCAAACCAATTAAAATAAAATATATATTAAACATCAAACAATTAAAAATTATGCGCATATTTAATATAGAATCTTAGGATAGGGAGAACTTTGCCACTTTAATTCTTAAAATTTAGAAATAATATAAATATATTTTTAAAAAATAATTTAAGAAAAACGTACTCTATAAAAAATTCCTATTTTAATCTAAATAAACCCCATTGGTTAGAAATATTAGGTTTGCAACATAAAAATGAATCTAAAATAAAACGTATTTTACATGTATATTACAAAATACAAACAAAAATCGGAATTTGAAATCACCAAGGTTACAAAATTAATTGGACAAAAATAATTTCAATTTATAACATGTAGACTTTATTCACCAATTCTACAAAGTCTCAAAAATATGAATAACTTTTTACAATTTAAATTTGGCTATTGAAGTTACCTGAAAAAAACCGTCACATGTAAAATGTAATAATTATAAAAAAAGAAGCAAATTAAACAAATATATTTAATACAATTAAGATTTTTGGGCTATTTGTTGTTTATCTTAATTTTTTATTTACTGTATAATGAATTTCTCTTATTTTACATCTATTTTTTTTTCGTTATTTAACAAGTTTTCGAGTTTTTTCGAAATATTAAAAATTTTTGGGATATTTTTTGTCCATCTTGCGTTTCCATCTAATGAATTTCTCTTATTTTACACCTATTTAGCGTCATTACTTAAAACTTTGTTTTCCGTAATTTAACCACTTTTCGAAGATTTATCAAAATATTAATGATTTTTGGACTATTTTTGTCTATCTTGCTTTTTCATCTCTTTTATAATGAATTTATCTTATTTTACATCTATTCAGCGTTATTACTTAAAACTTCTAATTCATAACGATTGTTTTCCGTAATTTAATCAGTTTTCGAGTTTTTTCGAAGTATTAATGATTTTTGGGCTATTTATTGTTATCTATCTTGTTTTTTCATCTAATTTCTCTTATTTTCCACCTATTTAGCGTCATTACTCAAAACTTATAATTAAAAACGATTGTTTTTCGTAATTTAACCAGTTTTCGAGTTTTTCAAAATATTAAAATATTTTGGGCTATTTATTGTCTATTTTGGTTTTTCGTCTATTTTGATTTTAATGAATATATATTAGTTTACACCTATCTAGAGTCATTACTTAAAATCAAAAATCAAAAATTTATACGTTATTATAGAAAAACCCAAAAAATGTTATTTACAAAAAATGTAGATAATGTTAATCTGCTCATTTAAAAACCCATAAATGAATCACCCTGTATTTGATTCTAAATTTGAATTTTCTTGACTTTGCACTTCTAATGCAGTCACAACAGGATGTCTCAGTAAAATAATTTACTTCATTTTTATTTTATGGTTTTTAAAAAAATATAAAATATCTCCAATTTAAAAAACATATTTTTTGATATTTTTTATAATAACGAGTAGATCGAATTTCCCAAAACTATTGGGACACCCTGTATATTTTATTCACGTATGTTCTTTCTTACATTAAATAATTATTTAAAATTGTTACTATCAACAAGTTTTCCAAAGAAAATGGCTGTCGGTTCAAAGGGTTGGTATATTTAAGGGGTAGCGACATTCGATGTATTCTATTTACAACACGTGAAATCATGAATAATGGATTAAATTTAAGTATTTTATGTCGAACACAATTCTATTATTGTATATACATTTTTTATAAATTGGCAGGCTTGGCCACTACTATTTCTAGATAGAAGACTGTGTCGCAACCCTCTACGAGCCCTACCCACCGATAGCCATGTATAACAGGTCCTTGGAATCCCTAATTGCAATATTTTATGTATAACTGTTGTATGTTACGTGAATAAATTTATTACTAGTATCCAATTAAAGTCCGATTCTGTACCTGCTTGCAGAGTACCGTTCGGCTGGTACTTTTGTAGTACCGAAACTGTGAAAAAAGAAAAATTAATTTTGACCAACCCTATAAGTATTAAGGATGGTTAAGAATCAACGGGCACACACCTTCTTAGAAAAACAAATCGAATGCAGAGAATCAATTTCCTCACTTAGTAGGTACCTCAGAATGCCGCACCACGCTGGTACCTTGACTAAGCTACGTCATAGTAGTTGTCGACCTTGGCGACCAATAGGAACGCTTTAATGAGAAATTGTGAGAAGAATGTGAGAGTAGGTACCTGTTCAATTCTGAATTCAAACCGACGAAGGTACCGTACAAGACTCGCGGTACGTATCTGAGGATTCGGTGGTTCTATAGTGGTACTCGTGCAGGTGCGGCTGTGATTTTCAATAATTTTGTGAGGTTTTGTGTTTTTTGGATGGTTTTAGGTGTGATTCACTGAGCTGTTAAATTAAAAGGTAACGTACTGCTTTTTTAAATTTGTTAATTTATATTTTAATGAGTGGGTAATGCTGTCATTAATTTGAAGTGAAGGTCTTGTTAATTGTGTCTTTTACTTTCTAATTTTTAAATGGGATTGCTCGAAGATATCATCGTGACAGAGTTGGCAGAGAAAATATTTGATTTTGATAGAATATCTTACTGACAAAAAATGTGCCAATACAAATTTGCTTAGTTTTACGTTTTATGAAGCACTTGAAAACAAACTCCAACTTGATGTAATATTCATAAACTTTAAAAAAGCATTTGACGAGGTAAATTGTGTTATTCTGCTTTTAAAACTGAGTAAATTTGGTTTGACGGAGAGTATTCTTACACTGTTTAAAAGTTATTTCGAAAATATATATTCAATTGTTAAGCATAATGGTAACACATTTGGGAAATTAATAATATAGTGGAGTACCACAGCGCTCGAATTTGGGACTTTTATTCAACGATTTACCTTCTGTGCTGAAGTTTACAGATTGTCTTATACTTACATGGTATTAATAAAGTTTTAATATAAAAAATGCAGCAATATGATAATAAGTAGATTAATGTCTACTTTTGTTCGATAATCTTATACATGGGGAAGTCTTAAAAAGATGTACAGAGGCAAAGGACTTGGGTATCACTGAGGATTGTGTTTTTTCGTTCATTATCATGTAAAAAATATAGTTAAGGCTGCAAATAGAATGTTGGGGGTTTATAATTAGACAAACTAGAAGTTTTACTAATATAGAAGTAATAAACTTTCTTTATTATGCTCTAGTTAGACAAAAACTTGAGGTATGGATGGGGAGATATCCAACTAATCTATATGAAATAAAAAAATACAAAATAAATTCCTTTAATATCTTTATTATAAAAAAACTTCAAACCTATATACCATACTTTCCTATCACATCAGAAGGAATATGGTAATGTTGATCTTTTTACATAAAATTATTATTTTGAGAATTAATTCACAGAGGAGAATAATATATCCATGTATGTTTAGAACCTATTTCTTTAGCTCTTACCACTCCCATGACTCCTCTTGTAACAATGCATATACATTATTAGCTATCGAACGCTATCCAATATTCTTTAAACAAGTTCATGTAACAATTACAGAAAGTAAGCATCGGTGCGGGCAGGAAACGAATTATATCAGCGTTTCAGGTTAATACGACCCGGCCAACGTTACAACGCAAATTAAATCCCAATGTTTCAAGTCTTTTAAGTATTACAGTTGATAGTTCAGACCCCGCTGATCTTTAACCAGAAGAAAGCCTAAAAAGTTTTCAATAATTTTAATAAAAACCTCATTAGGATTGGATTTGTCAACTAAGACTGTCATTTACTCGATCTTGCCGACATCAGAACTACAATTTAATATTATTGAATAATATTTAACTTTCTTAATCTCGTTAATATTGTGAGATATTTTAATTTCAGTTAAAAGGATAATTATTTCATTTTGAATATTTTTTCCGAGATAGTGCACTTTAACTTCCTCTTTTTTGAACACTTTGCGGATATGATCTTCCATTACTGGATCAAACTGAGTAAGTAATTGAATAATTTAAATAAAAATACCATTACCGGAATCGTCACTTGTGACTGTTACTTATTTTAGAATACTATATGTATTCTTTGACTAAATTTAATGCAAGATTTTTGACTTTGTATATGGTTTTAGAGATTTCATGTTGTTTTAAAGTATTAGCAAGTTACTTCCAATCGTCAAATCCTTCAGTAGAAAGAGAACTTAAAATATAATCAAAAAGTAAAACTGTATTCTTTGGCGAGGAAGCCGGATCTACCTTTAATATCGTAGCAAATGTATCTTCTTTGGATTTTCCTTATGCAAGTTCAGTGGACGTCCCTAGAGTAGGCTCTACTTAATCAATATCAGTAGCTTGAGGGGTAATGGCTTCATAATTAGGATTTAAATCAGCTTCTGATATCTCTGTGTCGTCTTTTTTTCTTTTTGTATCTTGTAGGTAACTTAGACTTCCAGCCTGTTTTTGAATTTGAACTAAATTTTGGAACCTTTTTCTTTTGTACTGAGCACTATAATCTGTTAGGTTCATCAGACATTCTAAAATCAATTAAGTAAGACAAAATTATTGTTTTTTTTTAATGAAACACATTTTCGAATGTTTCAAGACGAGAGTTTGTTGGCCAAAGGGTTACAAATAAATAAATAACTTAAAAAGGTTAATATCACTTCATAGCTATCTATATGTCAACAGAATTTCCATATTTAAAGGGATATTTCTTTAATTTTACTCATTTCCTTCATTCCTTAACGATTTTAAAGAACACCATTTTTATTTTACTTAGCATAAACTGTCATTGCAATATTACGGAAGTTTTCTTTAGATAAGTGTAACAAACTAAACATTGTTAATGTTTTAAAACAAACATTGCTTAGCTTATGAAGGAAAGCCATAAAACATGAGATTCAGAATAATAACTTTGCTTAAAGTCATCAACGATATGACTTAATGTATTTTATATCTTCGATGTCTTCCTGTCGACATGGTTTTGTAAAAAATCGTTCTAAGGTGACAGATTAGCAGTATTTTTACATTTTTCAATATTTTTTGTATAAAAATTTGTTTTTCTTGTTAGACTTTTTAACACTTTTACACTGCAATTTTCTGAGTTAATTTTAATACATGTGGCCGACTAAAACTGTATTTAAATATTTACCAAATTACTACTATCATTATACTAATTACATTTTTCATTACATCCTCATCACCTAACTTTCTTTAATAGTCATATTAGATACAACAAGCATCAGTTGTCTAACTAAACAGTGCTCTTAATCCGACCTTTTTTAATTATCGGTACTTTTGGCCCAATTTGCATATCTACGATTATCCATAATCGAGTTTAAACAAAATTAGATGGTCTAAAAACAAATTACGGCAATACAAATCCCTAGGAGTAGATGGAACATTTAAAATTCTACTACAAAAGTGACAGGTAATTTTAATTTCACACATGTATCGCCCTAGCGACATATATCAGAGGCGTAACAAAAGATGAAAGTCATATAGGTACCTTCCTAAAGTAAAAAAGGTTAATAACCAAAGTCGTAACGCTCAATCAGTATCTATACCTACCTTTATTCATGCTGAAAATGCTAGAAAGAATAATTGATAGATATATACGAGATTAAATACTGAAAGGAACGCCTTGAAACCTTGAACTTGATGGAATGATTTTTAGGTTATGTTACAAAAGTGATCTGATACCCTTAGATTTCTTCTACATATTACCACCACTTTAGTTAGTGCATGGAGATGGAACTAACAGTAAACCCCTTACAAAACCACAGTAGTCAACTTCACAAATGTATTGACAAGGACTAAAGCCACTAGTACTGAAAAGAGTGGAGTTTTCGTTTCCCAAGAGGCCAAATACCTGAGTGTCGTCTTTGACCACAGTTTAACAAGGGATCAACATTTGCAAAAGTCACCCGAAAAAGAACAACATCTTTTAACGTATTATCGAAAGTTGGACAGAAAAAAATTGGGACTACAACTAAAAATGTCCCTGTTGTTGTATACCAGAGTTACAAGGCGGTGGAATGGTAACCAAAGACTCGAAAAATTGGAGTTATTCAATAGTTCAACGGTATTTAAAGGCAACACCAGCCCTAGAAATCATATCAAACGAAACCCCACTACACATACCCATTCAACGCGAGCTATATAAAGAGTTTGAGAACGACTACATAATGGGAATACCTTTAATCGAAATGCTCACAAAATATAGGTTTCAGAAGCAATGTAAAGTTATACCAGACAGGGAAGCATATAAATAGAAATCACTTGGTATACAGACGTCTCCAAAATCCATGAAGGATCAGGAGTAAGTATATATAGTGCGAATCCAAAGACAAGTTTTACAGAGCTTAGCTAAACATGCGACAGTATTCCAGGCAGAAGTAGCAGCAAAAGAGGTCTTAAGGTAAATGGAAAAACTATTGTCATATACCCAGACAGTTTAAGCGACGTTAAAAGCACTCAGGTCCATGCAGGTACACTTGAAGCTTACGTGGAACTCTCTGGAAGTCCTAACAGAGCTGGATGGTCAAAACGGACTAATCAAGTTACAGAATATATAAGGGCAATGGGTGGTGTCACACAGTAGTAGATGTTAAAAAAATCTCAGAAATGGTGCAACAATTCACAAGGACAGATAGTTCTTGAAAGGACCTTCGACAAAATTTTATCTATTAAACTATAATGCGAAAAATACTAGGGTACTAGTAGGCCTAATAACAGGAAATTGTAGGCCCAATAAACGTATGTATAACACTGGCTTGACAGAAGAAGATCTTGTGTCAATTTTGTCAGGAATAGGAGGAAACTACAGTACACGTGCTACTGCGAAAATTTATCAAGACAGAGATTCCTTACACTTTGAGAGAAAAAACTAAGGGCAACTACGTCAAAGAACTACTTTCCAGTCTATGGAATCTACTACAAAAAACCAAATTAAAATACTCTAACCCACGAATAAAGGATATCCACAATAGATCTAACGAAATCTAATCTTCTCTAATCTATAGTCCCGATATCCAAAGTTATATTCAATACATTATATCACAAATTAATAAAATATGGTAGATCACAATAATTTAAAGATAACTTAGAGAAGCAATGTCAACACATGACAAGCTTGTATACTACAGTCTGTTCGCTATACTTACGCGGGTTTCGGATTAACAAAATTATGCAAATTATTTGACAACCAGTTCCAATAAACCCCTTCCCAAGAAATTAGGTAAAATTGCCCTAATGGTCAGATTTAAATTAAAATAACATTAGGGTAGGTACATTTGTTTAGTGAAGTGTAATATAAAATTATTATTAGGTTTATAATAGCCACATTAGACTCCATTAATGAAGAAGTTTAATTCTGCTCTCAATTATACAAAACATTCTCCATTATTATTTAATTAAAAAGTTGT